TATTAAAACTGAAACAGATGGTGCGAGTGTCAATAAAAATATGAGGATGTATGATAAAATATAAGGTGCATTCTCCCATGAGGAATCGCTTTAAATCATTGAGGCAAGTTAGATTTCTATGCGTCTCTTAATTGTCAGCTACACGAAAATTTATTTCAATCAGTCGTCACAAAGTGGATGATGTGTGTTAGGGTTTGGGTTCAGATTTCCTTGGCTTCTTTTTAAGGGAATATTTTACACTATATGCAGACAAAAGGATTGCATGATGATGCAGCTGGTTGCACTGCTGCCTCATGGCAAGAAGGTTGCAGGTTTGAATCCCAGATGCAGCCAGTTTCCTCCTCAGACCAAAAATATGCACATTGAGTTAATTGGAGACTCTAAATTATCCCTAAGTGTTTGTGTGACTGGTTGTTCATCCCTGTGATGGACTGGCAGTCTGTCCTCTTTGTCTCCCAGCTTCTCAGCTGGTGACTGCTGGAGTTTGGCACCTGCTCCCCACGACCCTGATGAAGGGTGAGTGAGAGATAGGTGAGATGATAAATGTTATTGTCATTAGTAATGGTAGACAAAAGCATTACGTTGAAACTAATAATAAGAACTGATGGTCCAAAACTGTGACTTAGTTCAAAATCATTGTTGGGTTACATTTTTCTGTTTTGGGATCACCAAGCAGAAAAAAATAAAAAAGATGTATGTGAAAAATGTACAGATATTAGTTTAGTATTAATAGGTTTTTTTTTAATATGCTAATCTTATGGGGCCCATCTAGGACCATGGGTCCCCAACTGCCAAAATAATGAGTGGGAGTAAATGAGCTGATGAGTTATTTTCTGATCCTGTTTGACATGTGCCATGGATTTCACAAATGATGTCTATGAATTTTAAATACATATTTGATGCCAAAAAAGCAGTTATTTTTGACAGGCGGCAAATGTTATTTTAGATTTTGTGTAGAAAAGACGTATAGGACTACAAATCTCACAAAATTGATGTCATCAAACCAGACAGAGAAGAGGTGAAATTAGTTTAGCAAGCTTTAAATCCTTACAGAACAAAAGGCGCATGGAGAAAATCTACACCAAGAGATTCTGCAGTGACGTGACTGACGTCATATATGCACGTCTGAGTTGCTGTGTCAGTGAAGTACAGTATATGTGTGACCGAAAAGCGATTAGAAAATAATTTTTTATTGCCTCGTTCACTTCCATTCATTTTTCTTTGTTCCGGGGACCCATGAGCCAACCGGAAGAGGAGGAGACTCCCCAGCACGCTGCCATCATAATTCGTTTATTCGATGATCTTTTATTTTGAAATAACCCAAAAGTGCCTGTCACTCCAAATGATGTGAAATGTCGCCATCTTGTGTCCGTGGTGTGAAAAACAACTGACAAAAGAAGAAGAAGAACAATCTATAGCGCCTCTCAAGATAAAAATCACGAGGCGCGTGAATAGCACAAAAATAGTGTCCAAACGTCAGAGTATCGCTTAAACCCTTTTTCTCTTTAAGGTGAATTGTTTCTCCTACACGAGTAAACAGTTAAACAAACTGCATATTGTGATGTTTCATTTGGTGGTGCTGGAACATCATCAGTCAGAGGAAACCCGACTGTGAAAGTGAAACTGAAAGTTAGTTAGCAGTTAGCTGTGCAGGCGCAGGTGGCAGGAACGGTAAGTTATAACCCTAATACTCTTTCTTTTTTTAATGGTAACAGTTAAATGAATGCGGGTGTTTGTTAAACAGCAGACAGGAACTTGGTCAGCTGAGATGCTTCAACAATGTCAAACCGAAGCCAAAGCTAGCTAAAAACGCTCCTGATAAAGAAGCAGATGTTAGGCGCGGTTTATTTGAACTCGTTCAGTTTAAAAACGTCTTAGTGCTGCACATCTGTAGGCCTGATATGAGATTTTATAGCAGGGATAGGCTGTACGTGTCTTGAGTCCTCTTCTCAGACAGATAAACTAGCTAACAGACTCTCACTTCTGTTCAGATGTTACCACTATTAAGTTTCATTGACATGCTTTAGATTTGTTAAAGCTAACTATTTCATGAAATAAGAGCAAATGTGAATATTTGTTTTTCCAGGATCTGAGTTTCCTGCAGCTGGAGCACTCTACAGGACAATGAGGGGGTTGCTAACCCATGGGTCATGCATCATTCTCCTGGATGTGGTCCTGTGCTCGGCCCAGTGGGCTGGGCTGCTGCTGCTCAAGTGCTCCAGCTGTGGTGGACTTCCAGAAGTGTGGGCCTTTCACCTGATGAAATGGATGCTTCTCCATGCCGTTGCCTCCGTGCTGGCAGACGGAAAGCTCCGGTCTGTGCTCTGCAGGTTCACAGCTCTTCTTTGCCTTCTTCCTCCGGTGTTTGAAACTGGACGGATCATTGTGGCACCTCCACTAGAGCCTTATTCTGGACCTTCTCCTAACCTCAGCATGCTGCTCTTGGGTGCAACATCTTCATTGCTGGCATGTGTGATTTGGGAGAATTGGCTCAGCAGAAACACAAAGGACAACAAACTGGATACTAAACAGATTCTTCTGAGAGTACTGACATACTTCAAACCAGACAGACTCTATCTGATTACAGCTTTTGGGTTCCTCATCTTAGGAGTAGTCTGTAAGTGTAAATTACTGATATTCTGCTGTAACGAAGAGTATTCACACTTCTATAATAAGTGTACACATTTTCAGTGAATAGTTAATCTTGATAGTCTCTTCTTAACAGGTGACACTTACATCCCTTTGTATCAGGGGCAAGTCATCGATGTTATCAGCGGTCAAAAGCTTCAAACTGGCTTTGGTGATGCGATTGGACGGCTTGTGGTTATTTCAGTTGGAAGGTAATGAAAAAAAACTGTTCGCTATTCCCTAATTTGTTTTCCTCCATTCACCAGGGGAGTCCCACTGAGATTAAAAACCTCTTCTCCAAAGGGGTCCTTGCCAAATTACAGTCATACGTCATTTAAAATGATATACAAAATTATGTAAAGCAGTTATAATACATGGAGTCTGTCTCAAGTCTCAATCTGGATTTCAATGTATTAAAAGGAATGAGCTCAGGTCATTTGCAGTCTTCGTGCAACTTGAAGACTTGAGCAGAGTAAACAAAGTCCCCTTTTCCAGTTCGGTGCGTGGAACACAAATCTAATGTCTTCTGACTGAAAGTAAGCGACTTCCTGTCCATCCTAACAGTGCGCTGTTCTCTGGGATGAGAGGAGGCATTTTCATGTGCACGCTGGCCAGACTGAACAAAAGGCTGAAGCATCTTCTGTTCCAGAGCCTCCTGAAGCAGGAGGTGCACTTCTTTGAGGAGAACAACCCAGGTCAGATGATAGATCAATGTTTGATGTTTTGTTAAGCATATTGAGAGCATATGTGTGCTGTTGGAGACGTTTGGGTGCTCAAGTGACTTACAGTCAGCTCAAAAACATAAATGTTGTTTAATCGGCTGTACAGAAAGAGCCAGAAGGTGGGCTGATACAGTTTCACTAACTTCTAAAAGATTAAACGATTCATGAACGTAGCAGGACCCCAGAGCATACAGCTGCGTTCTCTGTGTCCAGCAAATTAGATGTTTGGGTAAAAATGATTATTTCATAACATTAAAACTAATTTATTAACAGAGGTTCCACATTTGGACTTGTGGGGATTTTCTCCAGTCCAGACTCCATTCAGGTGTTACAAACTTGATTTAGTTCATTAACTGACAATTAAGTCAAGTTTCCAACATGGCGGATGTATTCTGTCATATTATTTTAAGGTGTGTTTTCTTTACAATCTGCAAAAGTTGAAAAACAACCTTATGGGCAGAAGGAGATATTTTTATATTAATAGTTAAAATAGGAGAGATAATTAAGTTGTAATAATGCATGAAAAGGTTACTGTTTTATGGAAGGATGGATGGATGGATGGATGGATGGATAGATGTTTATCATTCTCTCTCTCCTGTTTCACCACCCAGGACGACTTTCCTCCCGCCTCCACAGTGACGTTGACAGGATGGGCCGCACCGTAGCACTGAATGCTAACGTAGCGGTTCGCAGCACTGTTAAAACTGTGCTCATGCTCAGAGTGATGCTGGGTCTGTCCTGGGAGCTCACTCTGCTGACCTGCTTAGAGATGCCCCTCCTGGCCATAATTCAAAATAAATACATCAACTTGTCCAAGGTAGGTGAGAAGAGAGTGGACGAGCCAGCCGTGGTGGCGACAGGTCGCCTCTCACCTGAGCTCTACTCGATACTTCTTAGATCTTCACTTTGTGCTTCCTAAAGTCTACAACAACCTCCGCTACATGCTTTTAAAAAACAAATCCAGGTGTCTTCAGAATCTCAGGAGTCTGTTGATGTTTCTTGTTACAGGAGCTGAAGGAACAGACTCAGGAGTGCCACGCTCAGAACAAAGACCTGGCCTCTCAGACGGTTGGAGGCATTCAAACCATCCGCAGCTTCAACACAGAGAAAGATGAACTGAGGAGGTATCATGTGGCTCTGGACGAGCTGCTCGCCATCAGGCGTCGTTCAGGAATATTCAGTGCAGTCTATCTGTTAATACGAAGAGTAAGGATAATTATTAGATTGGCCCAGTGTTTTTGTTTTTTGTGTTGTTGGTTTGTAATTTTCAGCCACAGTGTCAGTGATTCCTCTCCTTTTTCCTGTGTTATCCAGATGGTTTCTCTGGGAATTAAGATGGTGATGCTGATTCAGGCTCGGAGTCTCATCTCCTCCGGTCGGCTCAGCATCGGTAGTCTGTTGTCCTTCTTCCTGTACCAGAAGCCCATGTCAGCCAATTTAAGGGTGAGCAGCCATAGGTAATTACATGTATTAATTGTGTATTACATAAAGCGTGTTTAATTAATAATGCACACTTTGTCTCAGGAGATTATGTACTGCTATGGAGAGACGATGTCCACAGTTGGGGTCATTTCCAAAGTGCTGAGTTATGTTGATCGGACACCAAAGTGTAAGAAGGAGGGAGGCTTGGCTCCTGAGAAGCTGGAGGGGAGAATCGTTTTCCAGAACGTCACCTTCAGTTATCCCTCGGCTGCAGCAGACAAACCAGCTCTGAAGGTACTGAAAGGGTTTCTGTCCTGTTCAGAGTTCAACTTTACTCTGGACTTGATGGAAAGACAAAGATGCTTCTGATCTTTCCTCCTCAGTCGGTCTCACTGGAAGTGCAGCCAGGAAAGGTCACAGCGCTGGTGGGTCTCTCAGGCAGTGGAAAGTCGTCCTGCGTCAGCCTCCTGAAGAGGCTGTATGAACCTCAGGAGGGTCTGATTCTACTGGATGGAGAGCCGCTGCACCACTACAACCAAAAATACTTCCATAGGAAGGTACAGATGATTTACCGGAAAGTTTAAGCCACTGATTGCTGAAAAAGCTATTAAACAAATTAAAAAACTAAAAATGTTTTATATTGCATGGAACTTTGTTGTCACTGTGGTCCATCTACTTATCCTGCTCATGGGAATTGATTGATCTCATAAATTGTTTATCATTTCTATCGATTTGTGCAGGTGTTGACCTGTTAGTGATACTAAGGCCCTGTCCACACGTAGCCGGGGATCTACCAAAACGTAGATATTTTTCTACGTTTTGGCCTGTCATCCACACGAAAACGGATCTTTTTAAGAACTCCGGCCAAAGTGAAGATCTGCGTTTTCTCCGTTTTGGGTGTCTGCGTGTGGACGGACAAAACCGGAGTTTTAAGGTCCGCAACGTCACTTTCCGCGACAAAATAATGCTGACATCACGTGTGCGACCTGTGTTTACACTAGCCGACAGCATGGATGCCCTCAGAGCTGCGCTCGCTTTATCAGTTGTCCAAGCGCTTTTTGCTTGTTTGTTTTTGCAAGCGGAATTACTGCTCCTTGCGGAAGACCACAGATGAAGGACGAGGTTAAGAACGGGGGAAGTACTGCCGCCTACAGGTCTGGCATGTCCTTAACAACATATTTATCCTGGTACGTGTGCACAGTTTTTTTTTTTAAATGAGGTGGTGTGGATGCAAGTTTTTGGAGGGGCGGATATTCGGTTTTAAAAAAAACCCGGCTGCGTGTGGACTAGGTCTGAGTCTGAGTCCATAAGTCTGCTTGATGTTTGGTTCGGGGCTCATTTGGGGGTTTTGTTATGTTTCTAAAAGAGTTTTCTCCTTGTTCTGATCTTCATAAATCTCATTTTCGGTGAGGTTTTATAGACGTTATCTGAGTGTTATGCATTGGTGAATGATCTGTGTGGGATATTTGAACAAAATCATGTTTATCCTGATAGCGTGTTGTAGCTTGTTGACTTTAGGAAGGACAGAATCAGGAGATGGTTGGATGGTGAAAAGTAACAAAGCTACAGTCTAGCTGCATACAAATCTTCTACCTTTGTTTAAAAATCTGCTATTGTCCTAATTCTGATGTTTACTCTATCTTATGCAGGTAGCTCTGGTTTCCCAGAACCCCGTTCTGTTTTCTGGTTCCTTGAGGTACAACATTGAATATGGTCTGAAGGACTGCTCCATTGAGAAGGTGAAGGAAGTTGCAAAGAAGATCGACGCACATGACTTCATATCAGAAATGGAGGATGGCTATGACACGGGTACAGATCTGGGATCAGTTTGAAGTTTCCTAGGATACTAAAAAGGTGTGGCTTTGCAGTCTTAACACCTGCACACAGGAGTGAACTGTTCAATGTGTGACGGAAAATGTGTTCAGCAGCAGCAGCAGCAGAGAGATTTGATGAGAAGAAAGTTTTATTTGAACTTTAGTTTAAACTGGTGGTGCAGCCTGTATTCAATGACTTGATGAAAACACAAGTCAGGATGTGGCACGCAGAGGAACTCGGGTCTTTATTTTTACAGATGTAGGAGAGAGTGGAGGCAAACTGGCAGGAGGACAGAAGCAGTGCATCGCCATCATCCGAGCGCTGATTCGAGAGCCACGGGTCATTATTCTGGATGAGGCGACCAGCAGGCTGGATGTAAACGCAGAGCAGGCGGTGAGTAAAAACAAGACAGAAAAGGCGTCTGGAATATCAGAGTGGGCCAACACGAGGCTGAAAGAAGACCTTTAGAAAGTACTGTGTCATAATAATCCCACGTTTATCCGTGTGAGTTTTATCCACTTCTTGTCTTCTTTTCTCCTGGAAGCTCAAAGGCATGTTGGAAGTCGGGGAAGCAGGGAGACGTGTTAACACAACCTTTTCCAAGATTTTGGAGATGAACAGAAGTTTAGAGATGGGTCTGAAGCTGCTATAGAGAGGAGGGTCAAGAAGCGAGTGGATTACAGCGTTCTTAAAGTAAGCAGGGACCTGACCAGAAACCAGAGAAGCATTCATTATAGAGAGCACGCTGGGACCAATGGACTGAAAAGCTTTTTTAAACAAAGATGAGGGTAAGATGTCGAGGGGGCATGCAGAGGTCTTCATAGAGTTAACTAGTTTGGTTAGCTCAGGCAGAGAAACAGGACCGGGCTGGATTGGAGTCGGGAGAGGCAGCGATAAGGCTGAAGGAGAGATGCTACATCTAACCTTACTGACTTTGTCCACAAAGAAAGACAGAAAGTTCTCACAGTCTGCAACAGAGTGGATGGAGGCTGCAGGAGAGACGATGCTGCTGATGGTGTTAAACAGCACCTTGGGGTTCCCTTAGCTCAGGGACACCAGGTTGGAGAAATGGGCAACCCTCGCGTCAAGGAGGTCGGAAGATCCTTTAAATGCAGCAGATGGACGTGGAGACGGGTTTTCTTCCACAAGTGCTCAATTTTTCAGCATTGGTGCCTCAGGCTGCGAATGCTGTCGTTAAACCAGGGAGTAGGGTTCACTGCGTGATGGCATACCACAGAAAAGTGCTACGCCCTCTGTTGTCCTGACGGGGAAATGCTTTGCAACACTTTCCAGGTGACGGACAAGTCCAAGAGCATAGCGTCTCCGACAGTGCGTGTGCATCTCTCCCTTGCAGAGGATGAATCAGTCTTTGCAGCTAAAGCTACCTGTTAATCAAATCCAGTTGTTCATCATTTCAAACATTTAATTACATCTGAATGGAAGAGTTTCACAAACAATCACCCCATTCAGAGTTGTAATGACTGTAAACTAAATCTGTTAGACCTACAGTGGGTTTGGTACCAGGTTGTAATTATTTATGCTGTGAAGTTGTTATTTTCCTTACGTGAAAGACGATGTACGGCTCTGTTTTGGACCTAGCCCCTAGCAGATGAGGGGGCAGCTGCAATTTTTGTCACTTCCTGGTTGGCTTCACAAAATTGAGAAAATGGCGTCCCCGTTGTGTCAACAATCTGATGGTTTCTGATTGATATGTCTGCAGTCAGAGCCATGAACAATGACATCATCCAAACAGGATCAGACCTATAACCTCCTCTGTTATTTCTCAGGTTCTTAAAGAAGTTCTGGCTCGTGGACGAACGGTTCTGATCGTGGCTCATCAGCTGAGGATTGCCAAGAACGCTGACCACATCGTCATGCTGCAGGATGGATCAGTCCAGGAAGAGGGCACGCATGAGGAACTGATGAGAAAGAAAGGATGCTATTATCGTTTGAAGGAGGAGCTGTTCTCTGAGAGCGGCTGAAGGAACCTGTTAGACGTTAGTTTTGTTTGAATCACAAACAGGAGAAAACTGTCTTTGTTTCCTGACTTGTCTAAACTTTGGTGGATATTATTGGTGGATAGTATGTTTAAAAAGCATAAACTGTGTAAATGGTGGATTTTATCTGAGTGAAAAGCAAAACTGGGACATCAGACTGAAGGGATCTGATGACACAGAAGTATTGTTTTACATTTGTAATCTGTTTTTTTAAGTGTAAATAAAATAGTTTTCAGCAGAAAATACGAGCTCTTTGGTAATTCTCTTCTTAACCTTTAGTTTTTTTTTTTTTGTTTGTTTTTTTTTTGGTCACCTCTGACCTAGGTATGCCTTGAGATCCCACAAGAGAGCAAACGTTAACAGACTTCCCTCTGATTTAGGAAACAAATAATGTATCAGGCAGATCCCAGGTGTGGCCTGGGGGCCATTTGTGGTTTTCAGAGTTATTGTTTTAAGTTACGCTGACCCACAAAGTGTAAAAAATAAAATAAAAATACGTAAACAAAAAACAAAATGATTGCATATATGAACAAATAGACACCAATAAAACGTAATTTTGTTTACTTATAAAGTTCAACAACATTTTATATTTAAGGTTATTTTATGTCTCAATACCTTAATTCGTCTTCATCGTTTTTAAACTTAAGTACCATTAAAGCTGATGGCGGCGCGAACTAAACTAAATATCACAATTTATGCATCTTTGATCGAGGTTTGTTGTCCAAGCAGCGCCCCCTGCTGGGCGAGGCTATAAAACAACAAATTCACGCCGTCGAGCAGAAGGATCAAGGTTCATTAGGTTCCAGGCTCCCAGGAAAACCAGAAGTTCCAGCTCTGAGACTCCTGGGGACACGGGGATCCCAGGCTGCGCCCTCAAGCGTCGGTCCTGCTCCTGGACTTTGGTGACCCCGGGGGTCGGAGAACCGCTGCAGCTGCTGCACGATGATCTTCTACACTTTCTGCTCCCAGACTTTGAGGAAAAACTCCGTTTTTCCCGCAACTCTGAAGGTTTTTAGGACACCGTGGACACGTCATCCAGGATTACCTGCAACATCTCGGTGAGGGGAGAACATTTAAATAAATCCAGATGTTGAAACCAGAGCTCGTGCGGGTGCAGTAGTAGGAGGGGGACACTTTACGTTGTGAATCTATGACTGTCGACCTGTAAAGCTTCCTTGCTGCTGCTGAATTGGCTCTTGTTTGTTATTGTGCAATCAGTGTTGTTTAGATGAGCTAACTTGTTTACATGGTCTGTAATAAAAAAATCAGCTGCAGGCGAGAAGGGGTGGAGTCCAGATTCTCACTTCTCCAATGCATGTCCGTTTGTGTTGTATTTGGTTGAATATAAACTTACTAAGGGAATGTTGTCTGGCCCAATATGTGTAACAGTGACAGAGTTACTGACTTCTGGTGTTTTCTGAGGCTGATGAGCTGCGGTGGCAGTCTTCAACAGGCCTGATCCCAAAGGTTAACCAGTTGTGTCCAGATTACTTTCTGATAAGAGATAACAGATTGGCACACTGGGGACAAAATGTACTTATTTCAACATCTCAATTCAATTCAAAGATACTTTATCTGGTTTACTTTTTGTTTGCGACCTGTATAGATTTATTATATTTCAGTAGTTCCAATAATAAAACAGTTTCTGCAGATTTTCTACCTCCTCTGTGACACGCTCCTTGGTTCTGTGTGAGCCAGCTATGGTTGGTTTGAATCATGCAAATTTAGCTGATGAGCATGAGAAGATAACATGCTAATGAATGGTAGAAAAACGTGTTTTATGAAAAATATTGTCATTTCAACTGCAAATATTTTATTTATTTCTGAGTTTTCAGTGTGAAAGAATAACTTCAGTCAGGTTTTTAGATGGCAACAACAAACCTACTGAATATGGAGGAAAACGCATAAAACACATGGTCTTTAACAGCTTTGTAGCTTTCGGTAGATTTTAATGGAACACAAAAACTTTACTTTTTGACCAATTTAAAATACTATGTTTATTTTTATTTACCAAACTTTCTGGTTTCTGACCCACATTTGCATCTCCTCCTCCTGTTGATCTACTTCAAACACGGACACAAAGTCCAGTCATCACAGGGTTTTTGATTCTATGTTCATCTCTTGTACCAATCATTGTAAAATATTCCATCATCAATCCCTTTCAGGTTTCATTTGTTTACCAGAGGTGATCTCTAACTCTCCACATGGAGCCTGGTGACCCACAGCTCCAGCAGATCACCACATCACGAACATCAACAACCTAAAATTAGTCACAGCTGGATTTTGATATCAAAGTTTCATCCTCATTGTTCACTAATTTTTACTTCATCTCAGTTTGCCTGTATTTATCTTGACACCTGAACTCAGGCTGAACCTCTGATTTATGTTTTCTGAGAGAGGAATAATGTGAGTTTCAGCAGCACTACAGTCATGATGAGTCTGGAGCTAGAATGACTCTGATCTTTCAGCATGTAAAATCGTATTTTAGGTTTACAAACCTAACAAACCTCAGTTCGTCAAAAAAAAGAAGACTGACATTTTTTGAACTGGCTGGTGGTTTCCTTCCTGCTCGCTACCCTGCAGCGGGGCCTCGTGGATCGTGTGGGACGTCTCTGGTTTCCTGAGGGTTAGCAGAAACTTTGTGCTTAGAAATCACAAACAAAGGCGATAAGAGCCTGGGTCAAACTGTAGCTTTAACAGCTTTTATATTTTAAAACATCTTTAAAACCACAAATGAAAGCGACACAGAGAAATGATGAGTGTCCTTTTTTGCAGATTTTCAATAAGTTGTAAACAGTTTTAACCAACGTGTAAATTAAATTAAAATATCTTAATCTTTGGTAGAATTCTTGTCGTAATCGTTAAAATAAAACTATTAATTTTCCCAACACTGATGTTCCAGTATGGGGTTGGTGTTCTTTAGAAAATTAAATATTTCATTCTTGGCTGAAGAGCTGGATAATCCAGCCTGGATTCGTGTTTCATTTACATCTGATAGATCTTTGTGTGTCACTTCCTCTAACTCTCGTCTCTTTCTCAGTTTGATCCATGTGGACCGTCCGCCCATCGTCCCCTCCCTCACCACCAGCTATGCCCACGGCACCTCGTCCATGTCGTTGCTTGGCGATACGGTCGGAGGAGCCCTGCTGAAGTCTGTGGAGCGCTGGCCGGATAAAGAGGCCCTGGTCTTTCTGGAGGACGGTGTCCGCAAAACCTTCGCAGAGTTTCTAAAAGATGTGAGCCATCGGTTTAAATGGGATGATTCTCCAACACTTCAGTGTTAAAGACCAAGTTCACAGAGAAACGTTTTTTTTATTACTTTTGAAATAAGATTGGTCACTCTGAGTTTAACTTGCCGGCTAAATGTAAAAATAGTCTTTTACCCCTATTTCCATCATCTTACCCTAACCAACATCTGGTCAGAAAAAGCCACACACATTTATGTGTAAATTATAGCAATCACAGACTCTCACTCATCTTGGCTTGTGATGGGGAAGGCTGTTGTTGATTAATGTCCAGAGAGCAGAGCATCTCAGCTAGTAGAAACTAACTGTTAGCAGAAGCAGCTCCACAATGTGGCAGAACTCCTTCAGTCTTGTGTTACTTGTGGGGATAAAACATCAATGTTGTAGAGCGAACAGTCATTTGTAGAGTTGTGTTAGCCAATCAAAGGTGAGATGAACGAAAACGGGGAAAAAGATTTCAAATCCTGCTGACTTCTGCTCCGGCTCACTTTTCCTTCCTGAAATAGGAGCGCCAGAGCTTTTCTCCCCACAGAGTTCAATTCACAAGGCATTAATCCATAGTAGAGACCACTGCAAATGTATTAAACTAAACAAGTGAACTTGGTTTTGAATGTTGTACAGATCCTGAATCTGCACCTGTTAACCCATGTTGTTGTTGTTGTTGTTGTTGTTATTTTGGTCTCTGAGTCAGAACCAACAGCCTGACTTGCTCACTGGAGACATGCTTTAAATTCATTTCTGTTCCTCATGTTGTCCTCTGAGCCTTTAAAGTAGCTTTGACTTCTGTACAACAGCTTTATTTTGTTTATTCATCCATTTCAACTGCACTCCTGTTAATTAGTAAGATTAAATGAAGAAATTAACAAATCTCCAAGAAGTCCTCCAACTCCTGGTTTTGGATCTCCACTTCCTGCTTCATCAGCTTTGCCATTTGAACCTGAAAGACTTAACGTAAACACAAAGATTAGTGTTTTACAGATGCACTAACAAACTGGCCAATTATTCACTGAATTATAGCTTTTTGAGATAAATCCGAGTCGGCCAAAACCAGCTTCAGCAGGTCAGAGTTGTGCAAAAATCTGTATCGGCCCTTAAAACAGAATCGGTGCATATTTAGGCTTTCTGACGAACTTTACAGAATGGTTCTAATATTGTTTCTCAGTGTCTAAAGAACGTATGGCTAACTTTCATCTCAGACCTTTAGACCTTTGCTAAATGATTGTTTTCACATAGAAATACCCGTTCCAGTTGAGTCAAGCTGGAAAAGCTGACGAGTTGCACCATAACCTCACAACAGTTACTCCTGTCTAAAGAAACACTAAAAGATGTAATTAATAAAACCACAGCAGCTATAATAAATGAGCGTCTTATGGGTAAATCTGTCATTTTGAAGCATTAATGATTTCAAGCGTTTATATTTGTGTGAGTGGTGTTTGTGTATCCTAAAAAGCTGCTCGGATGAGTGTTTCCAGCTGTCACAACCGTCAACATGAGGTGATTCCTCGGGGAGACTAAAGGCGGTTTATTTCCGTGATCTTTAATTCAGACACTTTAGAGTCACGGTGACATAACAAACAAGCTACTTTTAATGTGTTTCTGTGGGTGTGTGCACGCATGTGTGTACTGTAGGTGGACCAGGCTGCTGCTGGACTGCTGGCTCTGGGACTCAGGAAAGGAGACCGGCTAGGCATGTGGGGGCCCAACACCTACGAATGGGTCCTGTTCCAGTTTGCTACAGCTAAAGCAGGCATTATTCTGGTGAGTTGGAGTCCCAGAGGCCACTCATCCAAATGGATGTGGTGCAGAAACGGTCTGTTGTCTGAAGGTCATGGAAGTCGGCACTCTTATCTTAAATCTTGCACAACTGCAGCTTTGAGTCCATGGAAAGATGAGTTTGTTTCAGATGTTTGCTCCATTTCTTCTGTTTATCTCCTTACAGTCTGACTTTTAGTGGATGTCGGCGTCTATTTATTTTATTAATTTATTTGTGGATGTCAGCCTCTTTTTTTATGTGTAAGGAACCATTGAGTACTGCTGGTTTAGCGGTTTTGAACACATTTTGACAATAAGTTAAAGGTGTGGAACACTGAAGAAATATTTTTAATGATTTCTGATTATAAGTAGTTCATTGAAAAAACATTTTTTAAATGATTATTTCTGATTATAATTGGTCACTCTGAGTTTTTCTGGTACGCAGAACATGAAAATAGTCCCCTACACCTATCTCCTGCATTAGCTTCTGATACAAAATAGATGGTTACACTCTAGGATTTGAAAAGCCCGACAGATCTACGTCACACTGTCACTTAACATTCATGGACTCATACATGTTGACTCATGACGGGGGAGGCTGTTTTTGGTTTAGCATCCAGGAAACTGCAGAGAACATCTTGGCTAGTAGAAGCTAACCATTATAATTGGCAACTCCACCACATGGCAGAACTCCTCCAGGCTTGTGTTATTTGGCTTAGGACAGGGAAGGCTGTTGTTGTTTTAGCGTCCAGGAAACGGCATTGAACCTCTCCGCTAGGATAAGCTAACCGTTAGCATGAGCAACTCCACCACACGGCAAAAGCTCCTCCAGGCTTGTTATTTGTGGAGATAAAACATCAATGTTGCAGAGCAAACAGAGTTAGTGGTAGAGTTGTCCGCTGCAGCAGACTTGTCTGTGCTGATCCACGCGCTTCTGGGCTCCCCCCCCCCCCCCCCCCTCCCAGAGTATGACTTGCAAGTCCTACCAGATACTGCTGCAAATGTATTGATTAAATGAGCGTTCAACACTTTTAATGGGTTAATAAAATTGACTTTTTTAGGTACTTAAGGGAAAACTACAAGTGTTCTTCATACCTGGAAAAACTAAGAAAGATCAGTGAATAAACCACATTTTTAAAGATGATTTTGCAATGCTTGTTTTCCAGGTGTCTGTGAATCCAGCATACCAATTGCAGGAAGTGGAGTTTGCTCTACGGAAAGTGAGTGATTTTTATAGGAACATTTAAATGTTTTCAGCCCTGATATCACATAATGGCGAGGTGAATCGGCTGCTTTTTTCCCCAGGTTGGTTGTAAAGCTGTGGTGTGCCCCACAGAGTTCAGAACTCAGAAGTACTGCGACATGTTGAGGAAAATCTGTCCTGAAATTGAGTCGTCCACACCAGGAGCCATCAAGAGCGCCAGGTATGACTGCTGGTGCTGAGTGCTGCACATCAAGTAAAAATTAGGATTTACAACTTTTGTATATTTTGTACATTTGTTCTGTGTAATCCTTTTAATTCTTTTCTAAATACAGAGTATAAAATATTTGTTTTTACCCTTTTTTGCTGACAAGTTACAGCTAACGCTGTAGCCTTCCTCAGAGCACTGCCGATGTTGAAAACAAATTTTACACTGTGTTTAGAAGAAAAAAAAACAATGAGGATTTACATATTTGGACTCAGAGTTATTCTGCCAGAGGACGGATTCTTGAAGTCTCAGTTTAGACTAATATTTTTTAAAACATTTTAGAAATCCTCAAAGAGCAAGTCACCCCCAAATCAACTTTTTTTTTGCTGATAAACTACATAAACAAGTGTCTAATTGTGCTGTAGACACGTGTAGTTAATAATTTGGCACTTCAGTGCATCTTAGTTAAAATTTAAATATTCTGCCTAAAACTGGCAGTGTTGTGCCGTTATCAGGTAAAAGCTCTGCACTGTATTTGAATTTAAATCTGCCACCGCTATTGGCTAAGAGGTATGCTATGATGTAAACTGGTACATTATGATGTCACAATGCTGTTGTGAGCCTGTGTGTGCGTGTAGTTGTTAGCGGCCCCGCCCTCTTGGTCTGCCAGGCAACAGCATTTGTTGCATTCTTCAAACATGAAGTGGGAGTGGAGTACGTTTCTTGTAGGGGGTGACTTGCTCTTTAATTATGCTGGCCCTCTCTTGTAATTTTTTATTTGTTTATTTGTTTTCACTTAATTTTGTTATTTAATTTCTCAAGAGACTGAGCAAAGCTGACAAACATTCCTGCACCTTTTTTTATAAAACTAATGTAGAAACTTGCTGAATCCCTGTCTCACCTTACAAGTAGGCCTGCCTTTTATTGTGAAAGGTCTTTCACTGGAAAGCTTTTACCTTTCAGCCTAAAGTGAACCTCATTCAGGCAGCAGTTTTCTTGATGTCGTCCAACAAGTCTAACAGCAGATCATTTATAAAATTACACAATGAAGCAGTGTTTTCTGTCTGGGACTGGGCATATTGGTGTATTCTGAGAAATAATCAAAGCAAAACTCTTACCCTTACATTTTTAAGGACAATGAGCAGGTACACTTAAAATAATAAGTACACAGGAATAGGTAATTATGTGTTTGAGCTACAAATGCAAACAAAGTAAAATGCATCTCAATGTAAGTTAAGACAAACTATAAAGTACTTCATTTGTTTACAGTTTACTATTGCTTACTGTAAGTGTACAGGAATACTAGGTCAGTAAGCAAATTTCTAAGTACTTTTTACATCTGGTATTTGTTACAGTAACTTGTATTTAAGAGCATTTTACTTTGTAAGTATTAAGCCTGTTTCTCACCAAATGTGGAATGGATGTGGTCTGGTTTCCATATGACTTACTCATAGACCAAAAATCAATGAGTCCAATCAGAGAATTCACACCTGCTGCAGTGCAGATCCAGATGCCACATGCAGATTGTCATGAAGTTAAATATCTAGAACAGCTAGACAAGAAGTGAGACATGTTTAGTGAGGGGGTGTATTTCAAAGTAAATCCTGTGTGGCATTGTTTTTGCTGGCATAATTATCTAGTCGTGTGTACTTATTAGGCCCAAGCAGTGAAAGCGATGCAAAGGTTTCTTGTCTTCAAATATTTCCCTTTTTTTTTTCTTCCACCAAATAAATTGGCTTTTTGGAGGCCTTAACATATTTAAAAACTCACCAAAGTTTGCACAGTTATAGAATTCGGTGTAAAATATTGTCATTTAAGAGTCCCAGAAAAGTGGCTCGACAGCGCCCCCTTGAAAAAAGAAAAATCATCCTAGACTAAACTTTTTTTTATTGTACAGTTATGGAAATTGGTACATATGTACGACTTGCCTAGATGCACAAAAAGTCAGTTGCACCTATGTCTTAAAATAAACAAGAAGTCGGCCATATTGGATCAAACATGCCATTTTGACCCCGTTTTGGTTGTTTGTCGGGTTCACATTTGATCAAACTCCTCTTATAGATTTTGATTGATCAACTCGAAATTTGGTGAGTTAGCTCATAAGGCAGGAATATGCACACGCTCTTAAAATTGTGAGTTTTTGTGAATCCTGAAGGGGCGGGGCCAGGTCTCAACCTTTGAGCGTTCGCCCAAAAATTATAATCGTCAACAGAAGACAAGTTGGGGTTGCTTGGCATCTATTACTGGGAGTTTATGAAAGAGGGCGGGGGGGCTGTGGCAGTGCAGCAAAGTCAGGCGTAATGCTGTGGCTATACGTTTGCCACTCTTTTCCTCTGTTCTCATCAGATCTGTACAAAATTTATTATGAGTGACACTAATCCAACCCCAAACAAAAAGTTTAGCAACATTTTGGTGTACATGGCCGATTTATTTATTAATTTTTTATTTTTATTTTATTTTTTTAATGGTACCCTGCAGGACAATTCAGTCAGCCCCAAGCCATGCGTTGACTGCCAGATTATGAGATTTGGCACATTTATGTAGTGCCTCCTGACCTACAAAAAAGTCTTCTGAAGCCATGCTTCACACCTCACAGGAAGTCGGTCATTTCGGTCCCATGATGCCATTTTCTGTTTTTTTTGCACACATTGTATTTGAGCTAACTTGTCCTAGGGATTTTGACCTATAAACTTCAAAATGAAACCTTATACACTTAAGCCATTGAGGATTAAAAACTGACCAAAAGATTTTTCTAAACTCTAATGGTGTGGGTGTGGCACAGCCTCAAATATTGACCTGTCGCCATGCCATGTTTTACTGCCAAAGTTCTGTGTTTGACACCTTTGATTTAATCAGTGTGATTCTCTGACAAATAGCAGAAGAAAATATGGGCAACATGGCATCCAGTTATGACAGGTTTCGAAATAGAGTGTGGATTTGGCGGTGCAACAAAATTAGACTTCCAGCCATGGATTTACATTTTCCTCTCATTTCTTCAATTCTGAACTCATCTGCACAAAATCTGATGTGAGTGTCACTAATCTAATCCAGTCCCTAACATGTATGTGTGTGCTGTGGGTTGCGGCACTTGACCATTGGTGCTGAACTATGAGGGCCGAACAACTCTGCTTGCAGCTTTATTTTTATTTGTTATTGGTTTGCATAGTTTTTTCACACAAGCAGAACTAATCCGATTTTACAGTGTTGAGGAACATGGTGTGAAATTCATGGGACCCAAAACAAACTGGCTGAAAAGCCACAGTAACAATGGCCTAAAAAGGAAAATCTGTCTTTTTTTCTTGGTTTGTTTTGTTCTACCTCAGGACCCTGAATCTGACATAAATAGTATGGTTGTTTGTGTGTTTTATTAGTTAAACAAAGCAACCTGGTTCTTGTTTCAATCTCCTTGTTCTGGGAAAACTGCTATTTAAACCCTGATGTGGTCATTTGTTGCTGCAGCTTTCTTATTTGTCTCAGGACAAAGCTCTTATTCTGAAAACATTTCAACTTCCTGCATTGATCAGAGTTTTATGGCATATTACGTTTTAATATCAACATTTTGCATTTAAAAAAGAAGGAGAAAAGGCCGAGAGGGGACTGAGGCTCACAAACTGTTCTGCGTGCCTGAGAGTTGAACTCCTTATATAAGGTTTCACAGCGGATCATAAACACATTCCAGCTGCTGGCTGCAGAGCGTTAACCATGTATGGGTGGATCTGTCTACTTCCTGCAAACATGTTTCTGAACCAACATCTAAAAACTTACTCACAGAATTAAGTAAATCTTACTCGTCTGGATTCCTTTATGCACATTTTATGTACTTTGACTCTTATCTGTATCTGTTTGTCCCCCCCCCCCCCCCCCCCCCCCCCCCCCCCCCCACACACACACACACACACACCTCCCCCATAGGCTCCCAGAACTCCGCTCTGTGATCGTTCTGGACAGTCGACAACCGGGAATGTTTCACTTTGAAGACGTGATGCAGGCGGCCAGCAGCCAGTTCACTCAACAGCTGCAGGAGCTGCAGAAGAAGATCTCGTTTGATGAACCGATAAACATCCAGTTCACTTCGGTAACTGTTGGATAATCATGCATCTGCAGGAAAACCTCTAAAAAGAGCCTCATCTGAAGTTTTAACACAAAGGCACAAGGTTATTTAGCTATTGTTTTATTTATGCCATTTTTTATTTTTTTAAGGCACTTAACTGCACAAAATTAAAGGTTGTGCAGTGCCCGAGGATAAACAAAGCCGGGGGGGGGGGGGGGGGGGGGGGGTCCTTTAGAGGAAACGGTCATGATTAAGAAATGAGCAACACAGTTCATCCCGTTTTCACTGAGTGTGTCCTGCAGACAGATGCTCTTCTACACCCTCTATGCCCCCGTCCCATCCAAAGTAAACAATAGGATCATACAACCTCACGTACCGATGTCTCCATCTGTGGGCTGTCTACTTCTGAAGGGAGTATGAGTGGAACCAGGAAGTAGACTGGGAAACTTCCATGCACTGTTTTCTCAGACCTTGAATCAAGCTGAAAGAAAGATATTGTTGCTTCATTCTGCACAGTACTGATGTAAAAGTAGGGGTGGGCAATATAAACGATATAAGGTAGAAACTATATAAAATTGGGTAATGACAGAGTTTTTGGCTATATCGCAATGTCGCGATAACACATGACGTCACTAAGATGTGCACCCTGCTGACGTTGGGGCAACAGAATGGCAGTGACTGCAAGCATGGAGTAGGTGGAGAAGGAGGTCTATATACCTCAAGTGGCATATATTTGCCACATGAAGATATGTAAAAGCATGTCATTTTGACATATATAAACAGAGGAAAAAATATATCGCAATATATATCGTTACCGCACATGTTTCAGATTATATCGCATTATAGATTTGAGGCCATGTCGCCCAGCCCTATGTAAAAGCATGACTCAAATGCATCCATCACAGCTACCGGTTCTAGTTTCATCCTCTTTCTCCCTTAAGTCCTTTCACACAAGGTCAGCTTAAGTGGGATTTTCTAATCTTTTTCAGACTTGTATAAGAATCCTTGATTGACCACGAAAGATCAGATTTTCACTAGCAGGTGTACAGAGTAATCATCTGTTTACAGATGTGACATCATCATTAAATGATCAAAATCAGTTTGTGTGGCCATGAACTCGGTAATTTACAGTTGTGTTTTCAGGGAACAACTGGAGCACCGAAGGGAGCCACACTTTCACATCACAACATCATCAACAACGCTTGCTTTGTTGGAAGAAGAATGGGCTATGATTGGAGGGTCAGTATAAAGGACAATGTTTATCTTTTCATATTCAGTTATTCCAAAATGTTCCTTTGTTTAGAAAGGTACATTTATAGACTTAATTTGAAATGTAAAGGAAACGTATTTTATCAAGTTTTATTGTTTCATAAATGACAGACCACGACAAGTGTGTTAGAATTTGATTAAAACCTGAGTTGTAAGTTGCTGGTGTAACGTGATAACCCAGTGGTCCGTAAGATGGATTTCATACTCGATATGCAATTTTAATGTCTTACGGCCCTTAATTAAATGTAAATTACTATTATTACACTGGACCGTCCATCCATCCATTTCCGCTTATGTGAGACCACGTCACAGGGATAACGTTTCCCGGTGGGACACCCAGATATTGCTCTTCCCAGGAGTTCTTAAGGTTCTCCTAGGGAATCCTATAGTGTTCCCAGACCAGAGAGGATACATAATCACTGGTGAGTTCTGGGTCACCTCCGGGGTCTTCTCCCTGTGCCTCATAAGCATCCAGAGGGATGTGATCAGAAGACATCTTAATCAGATGCTTAAACTCCCTCAGCTGAATTCCTGACTCCTCAGCTTGTCTAAGGCTAACCAGGGTTAGACCAGACTGACCAGGAAATGCAGAGCTTTGCCTTTTGGCCCATCTCCTTATTTGGTCAGTCTTGTGCTCCATCTTACCATTACTCAGGAACAAGAAAGAAACCACAGCCCCCTTCAGACAGGCCATGAAAAATGGAAATGTTTGGGACTCTGTCCTTGAGACCTTTGTGCCTGAATACAAACATCCGGATAACCTTTTCTGTAATTAAACCGGACGAAGCCCCTAGTAACAGGACCGGACTTGTCACGGACAGGGTGGCTGCTTCAGACTGGTGAGGTTGAGTTCCGGACAGGGAGGAGGGGGAGGAGGAGGGGGCCGGGGGACGCTGTGCGCACCTAGATGGCTCGCTCCTGTAGCATGCGGCGAACCATGGCAGCGCTTCACACCGCTTCCGTGATTCCTTTATTAACCATTGAGCTTCATCATTCAGGTCTTATGTGTCTTTGTGTGCGGGTACACCCTTCCCACCCCCCTCCCCCTCAGACATCTGGAACTTGTCCCTGCTGTGTGAAGGCAGCCGAGAGGACAAGTTCAGGTACAAAAGTGGTGTGTCTGAAAACACAGTTCTGGTTAAAAACCGGACTGAATTGTCCACACATATTCCAGAATGTCAATCTGAAAAGGGCTCAAGACGCCTAATCTCTTTCATGAAGAGGAGGGCAGCAGTGGCTCAGAGGCTAGGAATTAGTCCTGTAAGCAGTGGGTTGCCAGTTCAAACTCAGGCTCCATCCATATCAGTTGTTGTGTTCATGGGCAAGACACTTGACCCTCCTTGCCTGCTTGTGGTGGTTGGAGGGACTGAGTGTCTGGTGGCCCAGCCTTGGCTGCTCCACATGGACCTCCTCCTGCAGAGCTCAGATACTGAGGATGGTTTCCTTTGCAGGACGGACAAAACTAATGAAATCTGCATCTCACATTTGTCATTTAGCCTCATAATGATTCAACAGATTTTAGTTGCCAACCCCAAATAGATTAGCCATTTCTCCAATTATTGCTCTTCTATATTATTAATTTATTTTGCTCATTTCATATTTTTGCACCAAGTACTGCAGCAATTTCCCAATGTTGTGAACCTGCTCACACATGTGGCAATAAACCCTTCTGATTCCTGCTCTCCTGATGTTTCTTCTGTAGCTGAACACTCGTATCTGTCTGCCGGTGCCTCTGTACCATTGCTTTGGCTCTGTGGGTGGAGGAATCATCATGGCTGTTTATGGCTGCACCCTGGTCTTTCCCTCTGCAGGCTACAATGGAAAGTCCAACCTGGCAGCTCTGGAGAGCGAGAGGTAGAACCAGAAACTATCAGCTCAATGACAGAAATAGTGGAAGGTTTAACTTTTAACTGGCATGTAGGCTACTTTAATCCTGGGCTATTCCTGGTCATCAAGGACCACTTCCTGCATGTTATGTATCCCTGCACCAACACACCTGGTTTGAGTTGATGGGTCTGATTAAATTGAGGATCTGCTCTAGAGGTAATTCAGTGATTGGAGGGCAGTGGCTCTTGAGGACAGGTCTTAACAGCTCTGTTTCTAATTGAAGCATTCATTGAGATTAACTGAGAAAATAAAAAAGATTCCCAAAAGTTTGGAGAAGTTTCAATTAAAAGTGAAATATTTATACCTATTATTAATATAGCTATATTATTGTTGTTGTTATTATTATTATTTATTTACATCCAGTCATAAACCTCAGTACCCCAAATTATGTCTTAAATGCAAAAAAGAAACCTGTGCTTTTTCTAGTCATGAAAGTTAAAAGTTTTTAGGTTAGAGCTGTTTTGAAAATGACATGAATTACTCTGAAGTGCACTTTTTAGCTGCAGTCAAATGCCGTCGATTCAAAAGGTAAAATCAAACTGCTGCTGCCTGTTCTGAGATTTAAAAGTCAAACTGGTAAAAAGCTTAAGATTTTTTTTTCATTCAAGAGAACTTGCATCAGTTTACCTTGGTTAAAATGTATTTTTCCAATATAAATGCTTTTAAAGTTCTTGTTTAAATATCTATCTGTACCCTATAATTAAACATCCACATTATTGAATGATTCTTTTGAAAAGCTTTAATTATGTTTACTAATTTCACAAAAACTCATGCTATACCATGTCCTTCAATCTCAGAATATAATTTACTTTTAATGCAATTTGCAGCAAAAAATACAGTTTTTATATTTATATTATTATATTTTTATATGTCAATAGTTTTTATGGGACTAAAATTGTAATTTTTTTCCCCCCCTCAGGTGCACCTTCATCTACGGGACCCCAACCATGTACGTTGACATGCTGGCCCAACCAGATCTGGCTAAATATGACTTATCATCTTTGGAAGGAGGTGAGAAAAACATGCAGAGCCTGTCTCAGTATTTAAGATAATAGTTGGGATTTCTTAATATTTTTTATTTTTTCCATTATTTGGGGTGGATGGATGGACGGATGGTTGGTGTTCTCAGACAAAAACTTAAAGTCACCCTTTGGGAGACCATAGGTTTTAAACCATGGGCTGGGGTCTGTCATAAACAAAACAGTCAATCCATAAATCCAGTGTGGGCTAGACTTTTAGGTCCATGCATGTGAATGTTTACTGTTTTAAAAGCAAAAGAAAGATCCTTAAATAAAATCCCTCCTGTTTATTATTTGACTTGTTTTTATTTGTCTTTGCAGGCATCATGGCTGGCTCTCCGTGCCCTGCAGAGCTTGTGAACAAGGTTGTGTCTTTAATGGGCGTCAAAGGGTTAACGGTGAGTACATCCTTTTGTGACTTAAAGCAGTTCAAATTTTTACCACATGATGGAGACAAATCCCAGAACACCCCTCAGATCCACAAGTTTATTGGACAAGAATCACTTCCAAATGTCTCAGAAATATAAAGAATTTGAACATTCATTAGATAACCAAAACATCGTCCCACTTGCATTAAATTTTGAATACAACTATCCACCTTCCACCATATTATACTTCCTCTTTTACATTCCAAGACAAACAATATACCATGTATGGTTTTAGGAGTATACAAGAAAGCACAACAGAATGACAAACTACTTGTTTTGTGTCATTTTAAAATGTCCTGTTATGTCCTGAAGGTAGAAATAAGGGTACATGAAGGTAAAAGTTTGCTTTAGCTGGAGCAAACTCGTCTGAGTAACTTTAAATAGATGTGATAATGAAGCACCAAGAGATAAACTAAATATCTCTTCTTTGTTGTTTTGTGTATTGTTTCTGCATTTTCTATAGGACAGAATGAAACCAGATGGTTGAGAATAATAAACGTTTTCCTCAGTAATAGCGTGTGACACGTGTAAAGAGCCTCAGACGAGTCAGTGAGCGTTGCTTTCTCTGTTGCCGATCACCTGGTCAGACTCCTTGTCTGCATCTCCTGCAGAGTGAGGAGAAACCAGTCAGAAAACCAGCAGCCAAGTCAAACATCCAGAGGCCCCGTCGCCTGGACTCGGTGTGCTGGACCCTAGGGCCAATGTGGATTAGAGTTCTGTGGTCAGAACAAGAAGAGCTAAAAAAATAAATAAACCCCAGAACCAAATCCTGCTCACCCAGACCCTGATCATACAGCTGAAAACCTCTGACCACCCTTCTGGGATGTGATTGTAGAGTAAACCACGCCTCAGTCCTCTCCAAACGTATGATAAGCAAAGATAATTGTCGTGTATTTATTGGTTTGGGGTCGGCAGAAGCTGTGAAGCTCAAGAACATCAACAGCAGAGTTCAGCATGAGTTCAGTTGTTTTATAGCCGTGAGATTTGGGGAGCCCAAACTCCTATTTGAGTTGTTTCAGGTTATTTTTTTATCATTTCTGTTAGTCGCAGTCTGCTGCTGGGAGCGTCTTATTATTGAGGAGTGGTCTTCAACTAAAATGATTTTATATATACATGCGGAAACATTTCAGCTTTAGATCACCGATTGCGTTGGGCAGCTACAACATTAGTAACAATAATGTCCTTCCACGTGGCTAATTCAGTCTTTTTCTTGAGATGTAAATGTGAGTATTAACCTTAACTCTGTGAGATGTGCATATTTTGTTGACATCGGAGAGAGAATACGTATTTTGGAGATTTTGCATGGTAACACTAAGCTGGTTATATCCAGGCTGTAGCGTTATAAGTATTATTAGCACCTGTTTGTCATCTACCCATCCTTAGAGCACAGGTACCTGTACAGCAGTGACTTCAGTGAAGAGGGCCCTTCTTTGGTCTTTGTTTTGCCTTGATCTTACAGCGCCTTAAGGCCGTGCTTTCTCTGATTTGTTTGCCTTTCTGTGAAGACGGAGACGCACAGATTGCATCCGTTGCATTTTGTCTGGAGTCCATCCACCTGCAGGGAGAGATGCAGAAAATTGAGTGAGGTTGTAAAATTAACAAGCTAACCTCCAATGCAACACCTGGTCACCTGTTTCATTATCTAAACCTCAAAGAACATTTTTCATTCCCAAACACTACCTGGTGTTTTAAAAGAGACATATTGTGACTTTAGAAAAATATTATAATATATTAAAATATTATCTTATATATGGTCCATAAAGACATGCTTATGAAGCCCTACATCTCTAATTTAAAATTATTTCAGCAGTTCTTGAAATTTTCAGTGCCTTCAAGAATGAGTGGGTTCAGAGCTCTGTCAGTGCGCCCCAGGGCAGCTGTGGCTACATCGTAGCTCATCACCATCCGTGTGTGAATGTGTGTGTGAATGGATGAATGATACACTGTAGTGTAAAGCACTTTGGAGTCCTTACTCTGAGATGCGCTATACTAGTGCGGGTCATTTATCATTTATTTAAGAAAACAATCTGGAGCTGGCCACGCCCACCAATCCACCACTCAGGCTGCTATAAGCGGAGAAGCTCCGATATCCTGAGGCCTCATTCATCAAACGTTCGTAGAAATATTCCTATTTTCCTTCCTATGAACGAAATTTAGAATGTTTGTGCAATCAAAAACCTGATTTATGAAACGTGCAGTGGCCACTCGTATACATGTTCCCCTGCAATCATCAGAAAAAAAAATTGATTTGATATGAAACTGAATAAAAAAGATTCCATTTAATGTTGTCAATATCACCATCTGAAGCAACTCGGAGACGGTCTAACCCCTTCTTTCCACTGCACGTAAAAGCGTCAAACGGCCGCGAAACGTACTACGCTGCAATTAGCCACCGTCGTAGTGGACGAGTTCCTTTCCACTGGCAGTGAAGTGTGACGTTTTGGACATGCCCCAGAAGTGAGGGCACGTTTCGAATTTTTGATGCGCTACGCTTCCAAACCACATCAAACTCTACAGTTTACATTAAGGCCGACAGGAAGTCAAACACAAAAGCAGCATAAAACATCTGGAAACCTTCAAAATAAAAGTCACGTGTAGTACGTCGTTTCCTGTGAACTTATGTGACTGATGTAAACAGAATAGAAATTAACCCACAGACGTTTTTTATGCATGCAGCTGTCGTCTTGTTTATTATTGTGTGTGAATGTCTGAAATCACGTGTGGTGTTGCAATTGTCCCATGATTTCCTGACGTCACAGGATCAGCTGTTCACTCCTGTTTCGTGTCAGAATTGCTCCCGGTTGGGAACAAGCTTGCGGGTAAAACGACGCTATCACGCTATGCGACTGCTTTCAGGGCCAGTGGAAAGCCGGGGTAACACACCTGATAAATATAGCTATGAATAAGTTCTCTGTCATTCTCCTTATTTCTCTTTCCCTTGGACTCCATTTATATTTGAATTTAAAATATAAATATGAATACTTATTACATTACATCTTAGAGCTGTTGAGACCTTATTTTGTGTCTCATCTACTCACTTTTGAGAATTATTTGGTGTTGAAACCCAAGGTAAGCTCACCTTTATATCTCTCTTTAAAACTTACCTGCATGGGGAAATAATTAGATGTGTGCATTCATTAAAAATCTGAACATTTAAAATGTATTTCTTTAATCATATAAATGAATTTTATTTCTAAAACTCTAATCATCCCAGCCTGATGGAGATGCTCTTGAGTCTCAAGCTCCCCATCTGAAATCTTTTTTTCTCTCCATCAGCTCACTTGGAAAGCAGAGACACTTCGCTTTCATTTAGAAATGTTAGGATTAGTGTCTGTTTCTCAGGTGAGTCTGTTACCTGCGTAGTGAAGCTAACTGACAGGAGCAGTTCCAGGGGTTGTTGGACAAGGTGATGTTGGTGATGGTGGTAAACCGCAGCCCTTTGGGAAGAGACGTCAGGTTGTTGTTGTCCAGGTAAAGCAGCTTAATGGCCGTCACACCATTAAACGCCCCTTCAGAGAGCTAGAAAAGAGCAGAACCATGAGCTATTCACTGCTTAAACATGTTATTCATCTTGTTCTATTTGTAGGTTTCATAAAACTCTTCACGCATGTATCAGGATAGATGCAGGGAGGGTTATCGTGTTTTTAAAAATTTTCTACAGTTATGAAAGCCTCCTCTTACCCTTCCTCCTGCACCCACATGTATGTAAACATGAACCTTCTCTGGCCTCCCTCTTATCCTCCAGCTTCATATGCAGCTGTGAGGGTGCTAAAAGCTTCAGAGAGGTGCTAGGTGAACTGACCCTCCAGAGGAGCAAGATGAGCATAGTGGTAGAGGAGCTATGCTTTAAAGGCTCATTATCTCACACCAAGGGACATGAGGCTGTGGAAATTTCCACTGGTGTTTAGAAGGGAAGAAAGATGGAGGACTCCCTCTTCGGGCCATTCCTCTGCCAGGATGGCTTGCAAAGAGTTTGTTGTCTATTCAAGAAGCTAAAAATACACCTCTTCATGCAGCGTGGAGCACCCTGCCTCTATTTACCTGTCTCCTAACCCCTCCTGAACTGTTTACAAGACCAAGGTGGAAAACACGCCGCTCAAAATAACACTTGTGTAATAATTAGACTCAGACATGCTTGGCTGAGGTCCAGTAAACAAAAACACTCTAAAATATCTGTGTTTGGGAGGAAAGTGGCTTAATCTGGCCAGATTTTACCAGCTCCTGCTGCTTCTACCTGGTTTCACACCGTCCCAGAGTCAAATGTTAGTTTCACACCCATAGAGCCTCAACACACCAACACCGGTGCCCTCAGATTTCAGATTCAGATTTCAGATTTTATTGGCCAAGTAAAGTTACATCTACAAGGAATTTAGCTTCGGTAGATGTTTGCTCTCTAAAACATACAACAACTACAGTAAATGAGAATAAAAATGGATAAAAGCACATAAGAACATGTATACACACACACACACACACACACGTATATTTACATATATACATACACGCATGCATACACACACACACGCACACACACACACACACATATATATATATATATATATATATATATATATATATATATATAATGTGTGTGTGTGTGTGTGTGTGTGTATACACATACATACACATGTATATTTACATATATACATACGCGCATGCATACATACATACACACACACATATACATATTTGCATACATGTACACACACATATACTTATGTATACACACACACGCACACACACTCATATCCATAAGCATACTGAATAAGTATTAAAAACTATAGTAAAAGGATGGTAAAAGAATCTACAGATTCAGGAGAGAAATGGCTGAAGGAACGAAACTGTTCTTGTGTCTGGTAGTTTTGGTGTACAGTGATCTATAGCATCTGCCAGATGGGAGGAGATGGAAGAGAGTAGATGCAGGATGTGTGGCATCTTGGACAATATTCACTGCCTTTTTCCTGGTCCTGCTGATGTACAGTTCCTGGACAGAGGGCAGTTGGGCACATATGATTTTTCCTGCTGTTTTAATAATACGCTGTAGTCTGCATTTGTCCATTTTTGTGGCTGACCCAAACCAGACAGTGATGGATGAGCAAAGTATGGATTCGACTTCAGCAGTATAGAAGATGATCAGCAGTTCTTGCGGTAGGCCATACTTCCTTAGTTGCCGTAAAAAATACATCCTCTGCTGAGCCTTTTTGAGGATGGAGTTGATGTTTGTTTCCCATTTTCAGATCCCTATCAGAAATGATAGTTCCCAAGAACTTAAATGAGGCCACCATTATCACTGGGCTGTTTGATATTGTGAGGGGGGACGGCACTGTGGGAAGCTTCCTAAAATCCACGACCATCTCCACAGTCTTAAGGGTGTTAAGCTCAAGATTGTGCTGACTATACCAGACCACCAGCCTCTCAACTTCTCGTTGATAAGCAGACTCATCACCATCCTGGATGAGCCCAATGACAGTGGTGTCATCTGCTAATTTCAGGATTTTAACAGCTGTGTCCTTAGAGGTGCAGTCATTGGTGTACAAAAAAAGCAGTGGAGAAAGGATGCACCCCTCAAATATGAGATAAGCCTTGGTTATTAAACAAATACACTCAGAAATACAGGAAAGGTTTAGAGACAATCTGGTGAACATCTAGAAAGATCTTGTAGATCTCCATATTCTGTTTATCCATACTAAGATATATTAATGACTCATTTTTTCCTGTTTTATCTTTAAAAGTTCCCTAAAACAGCTTTAGGCTCCGAAAATCCTCAGATTTCAAATGTGATCCTCATCAGTTCTAAAGCTCTGGTCTGACATTTCAAAGCTATTTTAATGGGGTTTAAATAGAAGATCATGCAGTATTTTCAGACCTTTTCTAAGCCCATGTTGTCCAGGTGGAGCTTCTCCATGTAGCGCCCAAAGCTCTGGAAGGCATTATCTGGGATGATCTTCATGGGGTTCCACCCCAGCGTGAGCTCCTCTACCACTCGCAGTTTGCTCATGGCTGCACTGGGATAGGTGGACAGCCTGTTCCTGTCCAGGTGAAGCAAAGCAAGGTTCTCCACTTCGTTCAGAGAACCCGGCTGTAGTGCGGTCAGCTCGTTCCCACTCATATGCAGCCAGCGTAAGTCCTTAGCGCCAGTGAAGGTCCCCAGCTGCAGCTCCCGCAGCTTGTTGTCATTGAGCTGCAAGACAAAGAGGTTGATCATTGGTGAGAAGATCCCTTTAGCCAGCTGGCTGATCTGGTTTCCATCTAGGTAGAGGTAGGTGAGTTCGGTGAGATCCTCAAAAGCACCGGGCTTGATGCTGCTGATCTTGTTGTTGGACAGGTAGAGGTAAGCCAGCTTCTTCAGCCCCTTGAAGGCCTGGGATTCAATCTCTCGGATCTGGCTATGCTGCATGTGCAAAGAGATGAGTCCCTTGCTTTCACTGAAGGACCCAGTTGGGATGGTGCCCAGGTTGTTCCTCTGCAGGTTCACCAGCTGGGTGGCCTCTGACACTCGGGGGATCTTCTTCAGCCCCACATTGTCACAGATGACATGCTGCAGGTCTCCATGGCAGTGGCACAGGCTTGGGCACTGACCTGGAGCTCCCTGCACTGTGGGGCCTAGAACCAGGAGGAAGATCCCCAGCAAAATCCAGGTTAAAAAATGCATCCTGAAGGACTCATAAAGAGAAAAGTGTAGGAGAGAGGCTGCACCAGAGTGTTTTTGGGACAGCCTTCAAACTGAACACACAGCTCTATTTATAACATTCACCTCAGGAGAAAAAAAACTGAGGAGGGTTGAAGTGAGAAATCTGCACATGGAAGTAAAGTGTCTCTGAGATTTAACCCTATAGGAACTGCAGGGCAACTTTCTGTCCGCTGCTGTGATGTCCAGACAGCTTCTAGCCTGTTTGGACTCACCAGAAGAAACAATGTTTTCTACCTGCAACATTTTATTTAGATCTCAGGTGAACATTTGACAACGTGGCATGAGGTGAGGCTGGTCCTGCGCAACGCTCCCAGACATCACTATTGTTTTTGAGTCTGCGGTGGCAGAAAAAGGAGCCACTCCTGTGCAGCTGTTTTATAACCTGTAATAGTCTCCAGATGGCTGTCATGAAGCTACTTCGGGTCAGACGCTGAAGGAGGCCTCCATCATCTCAAGAGGGAATGCTTTAGATGCCACTTTTCATTCCTGTGTGCATTGTTTCATCTGAAAGTCAAGAGTGGCGTTTATGTAATGGAGATTTCCAGTTAAACCCCAAATTAAAAGTTGGAGCAGCTCATGCAGTTTTGAGCCGGTTTCTGGCAGGATGTGAGCGGCTCAGGTCACAGGATGGTTTGGATTCAGCTCGGTACAGATTTAAAGTGAACGCTTCCACCTGTGAAAGTGGTTTGCTGAACGAAAAGCATTGTTAGCACTACTGACACCCTAACGTTATATTTGTTCATCATTTTTCTCACTCTTTATTTATTTGGGACATTGCACATTAATGAACAATCAAGGGTTTATGTGCAGACTGTAAATGAGCCAGATTATAGCATCATTGCTAATTTCCATCTGTAGTCCTTAGGCAGGAAAACTAACACTGAACATACAGACGAAATACAATTCTAAAACAGTCGCATTACAGACATACAAACAAATTACATTTCAACAGTAAAGATTTGTAAAGGTGTGTACATGACTGGGAACTTTTAAGGTACGGTTAAAGGTGCTTTTTGAAAATACTACAGGTTGGACATTCTCTAATATTCCTTGGTACGTTGTTCCAAAGTAACTCCTTCTGACTGACAGAACCGTTTGTCCAAAGGTTATTTTTCTGTAGGGAATCTCCAGGTCTCCCCTAGAGGATGCTCTGGTGCCAAAACCTTTGTCAGTTCTTAGTTTGACATATGTAGCAAGTGGAGGTGGGGCTAGTCCAAGCAAAACTTTGTAGATTAAGCAGATATTTTTAAAACTGATTAAAAAATAATTTAATAGAGCAAATTGTGTGTTTTTTTTAAAGATAGTGTTGGATCCAGGGTGATCCCAAGGTACTTGAACTCTTGCACAAGGTCAAGCTCCACTCCCCTAAGAACACATTGGACAGCTCCAGTTTTTTTAACACCATATCGAAACAGTTTTCTTTTTGTTCAATAAAAGACAGGACTGAAAGAGCCATTGTTGCAAAGTATTTTAAATGCAAAATATCCTGAGGTTTTTTTTAACAAGTGTTAAAGTTTTTGTATTTATTTTACACATAAAATGACATTTAGTCCCCATCAGCTCTCAGGAAACACTGCAGTCCAAGTATCAAAACTCTAAAGTCTACTGAAATCATTCCTAAGCCATAAGAAGTGGATTTGAAGGTGCTTTTCAGTGTTTATACAACAGTTTTATCAAAGAGATCTCAAAAGTTTAAAAAGGACATTTCAGATCAAACAGGTATTGAAAGTTGGGTGTTTGTTTTTGCCACTCAGAAGGATTAAACCCCCACAGGAGTGATACTCGTGGGTTAAAGAAGACAAAAATTACAGTTTTGGGGTGTAAACGGGAAGAATACACCGTGAAAAAAACATTGGAGCTGAAAATGTTGAGTTCATCAGAATAATCAGAATAATTTCAGAATAATTTTATTGCCAGCGCTCCTTTCAGAGCGTAGGAACTTGACTCCACAGTACAACCTGACCAAGGTTACACACACACACACACATATAGACAAGACAGATACAGGCAGACCATGGGAGCAGCCATAACGGCGCTCCTTTGTAGATGAGTAAGGGAATACATGAGGGAAGTTCAGGGAGGGAGAAAAAAGGCATTAACAGGGTTACACCAGCAGGGTGTAGCGCTCCAATGCAAAAAAAACACCCGACATGTAAGCAACAAACGTCACAGTTCACAACATGAGACCCGGTAGGTAGGGGGGTTCATGACATGAATGTATATTTGTAAAACTTTGAGTATGTAAAAGCCATAAAAATGTATCAATAAAAGGACAACATGGAAAACATGCACGACCGTGTGCCCTGAGGACCAGGGTTGGGAAACCCTGTCCTAAGGATCTCAGAGCCCTGTGTATATATGGGAAGGAGATCCAACGTGTATTCTGGTTTCATGCCATTGAGTGATTTATAAACTAGTAGAAGCACTTTGACATAAATTCTGGAGTTAACTGGTAACCAGTGTTTAGATTTAAGAACAAGAAAGAAAGGCAAATAGAAAGTGCGGATCAGGGGTGCAAAAGGGGCGTGGACCACTTCTGGACTTGCACCCATGGACTAGAATGCGCAACTGATGGGCACAAGGGTGGACATGCGAGAGTGTCTCTCAAAATAGAAATCACGAGGCGCTTCACAAAAACAAAAATTTAAAATATAAAAAAGATATTAAAAAATATTTCAAATATGTTCAAGTGAGAAAAAATATCAAGAAATTAAGGAAAGGGAAAGAGAAATCAGTGGATCCCGGGGAAGGGCAGAATAGGTTGAAAGAGCAGAATAAGGAGAGGGTGATGAAGGTCACATGAAACCAGCTTGAACAGGTGAGTTTTCAGCTGATTTTTAAAGGAGACCACTGAGTCCACTGATCTCAGGCTCAGGGGGAGAGAGGTCCAGAGTTTAGGGGCTACAGCAGCAAATGATCTGTCACCTTTGGTCTTTAGCCTGGTGCTGCACAACCAGTAGGCTTTGATCACTGGACCTCAGGGACCTGCTGGGGGTGTAGGGACTGAGAAGATCACCAATGTAAGATGGTGCTTGTCCATGTAAGGCCCTAAAGACCAGAACCAGGATCTTGAAATGAACCCTGAAGTTGACTGGCAGCCAGTGAAGCTGGAGGAGAAGCGGGGTGATGTGGGTGTGTTTGGAGGACTTGGTCAGAAGCCGAGCACAGGCATTCTGAACCACCTTTAGACGGTTCAGGGAGGTTCTGCTCAGACACGTGAAAAGAGAGTTTCAGTAGTCTAAGCGTGAGGAGATGAAGGTGTGGAGAACTGTTTCTAGTTCAGAGCGGGACAGAATGGGACTCAGATGGAATCAGTTTCCTCATGACCTCAAATGTGCCCCAACTCCAGTAACTTTTAAATCAAAATTGAAAACTTTATGTATTCATCAGCCTTTGAATGAATGTTTCTTGTGGGACAGCAGGCCTTTGTCAGTGTGCTCCGGGGCAGCTGTGGCTACATCGTAGCTCATTACCACCAGGGTGTGAATGGGTGAATGACTGATTCTGTTGTAAAGCGACTTGGGGGTTGTAGAACCCTAAGAAGGTGCTAAACAAATACAGACCATTTACCATTTGTTTGTGCTGCACCTTCTGCACTGTAACTGATTCTTAAATCTGAAATTAATTTGATTTAAATTTATTTGTGTATTTTAATTGTGCTGTCATGATTGTGCTATTCTTGCTAAATAAATGTAAAGCACATTGAATTGCCTCTGTGTATGAAAAGTGCTTTACAAATAAAGGTCCCTTGCTTTTTATAATGTATTTTACTGAAAATCAAAATATCTTCACAAGGGGTTTGTCAAGAGCTTTTTAGTAAGTGATAATTACTGAAAATTAAAGAAACTGAAGAATAACAACTGAAACCAGAATCTGGAGGGTCGGCCATCTCCTTCGTCCAGTTGAGGGGTTCAAAGCAAAACTGAAATGGGGATCTATTCAGAAAAACATTATCTATGGCTCTTTCTTCCTGTTGATCTCTTCATGTTGTTGGTGTTGTTGACAGATTGGTTATGGAACCACAGAGAACAGCCCAGTGACGTTCCTCGCCTCCCCGTTGGACAACATGGAGAGGAAGTGTGAAACAGTCGGCTACATCATGGAGCACCTGGAGGTACACCTATCCTTTAATCAGATGTTCAGACACTGAGACCGCAACATCCTCTTCTGTGCAAAAACGTCCTCAAATTATAGTTGTGATGTTTTTGAAAGCAATATGTTGGATTTTTTTTATTGATTCATAAACTGTGATAAAACTGTTTGTTTTCCTCTACAGGCTAAAATTGTGGATCCTACTACTGGAGAGGTGCTTCCTCTGGGGATGAAGGGGGAGATCATGGTCCGAGGGTACTGTGTGATGTTGGAGTACTGGGGCGACCCGTGTAAAACCAGCGAGTGCATCACTAAAGATGGCTGGTACAAAACTGGGTGAGGCCTTCAATATTTCATAGCCAGTGAAAATGTGATATTTCATTCTGCAACTGTAAGAACAAATTTCCCTAAGATTTTGATGAAGCAGTTGTAATTATTGTTTCATCCAGCGACATCGGCAGCATGGACGCGTACAGCTACCTCAAAATTGACGGCAGGAGTAAAGACATGATCATCAGAGGAGGAGAGAACGTTTACCCGGCCGAGATTGAACAGTTTCTACACACACACCCCAAAGTGAAGGAGGCACAGGTGAGCTAAAAAAATGTCTGAAATGGTGCCAGCTGTGGTGAAAATGGTAGTAGAACAGAATTAGAATTATTTTTATTTTTAGTCTGGAAATAGTCCTGTGAGTTTTCATGGAGGGGCGAGGCTTAAAACGTATAACCAGCCGCTATCCCTGTTCTTTCTTAATTTTTCAGATTAATTTCTGTTTACGTCAATGTTTGGCTCCACATATATAAGAAACGGCTTGTTCTTTGGGTTTAAGGGAAACTTTCTTCCTGTTCAAAATGATCCCACTTTTGGTTTAACAGATAGACTTCGCTGTTTAACAAACCTTAAAATAAAATAAAATAAAATGTGCAGTTTTTCCTTAAGGCTCCAAAGTTTCACAAGTTAATGACAGATTAAAATTAAAAATACTGTTAAGTAACAAAATGGTTTAAATTTTGTTTTAACAAGTTATAAAATTGTGATCGGTGAATATAATGCATTACACACTAAATGAGCAAAGCTGTTATTCCATTAAGACAAGAACAGGGCTCTTACGGGTAAATGGCCTGTATTTGATATAGCACCTTCTAGAGTCATGGACCCCCCCAAGGCGCTTTACAACATTTAGTCCCCATCAGCTCTCAGGAAACACTGCAGTCCAAGTATCAAAACTCTAAAGTCTACTGAAATCATTCCTAAACCATAAGAAGTGGATTTGAAGGTGCTTTTGGGGGCCACAGCAGCAAATGATCTGTCACCTTTGGTGATGATGAGCTACACTGTAGCCACAGCTGCCCTGGGGCACACTGACAGAGGCGAGTCTGCTGTACACAGACACTGCTGGTCCCTTTGACCACCACCAGCAGGCAAGGAGGGTTAAGTGTCTTGCCCAACGACACAATGACAACAACAGACTGAGCGAGGCTCGAACCTGCAACCTCCTGATTACAGGGCGAGCATTTGACTCCTGTACCACCGTCGCGTCGGTGCTCGAAGTTCCCTGAAAAGGCCAGAAATGTTCAAAGTTTATATCCAAGGTATATATAGGACTCAGCAGCTCACTGTGCACCTGGATATTGGACTTCCTGAGCAACAGACCCCAGAACATCAGAATGTGAGTTCAGACCTCCACCTTCATTCTGAATGTAGGAGTCCCACAAGGGTGTGTCCTTAGTCCTCTCTTATACTCACTCTTCACCCACGACTGCTCTCCAATCCATACCAGTAACACCATTATAAAGTTTGCTGACGACACCACCGTCATAGGACTGATCGATGATGACCGTGAATCAGCCTACAAAGAGGAGGTTCAGCAGCTGAAGCAGTGGTGTGACGACAACAACCTGCACCTGAACACAGCCAAGACCAAGGAGAAGGTATTCAACTTCAGAAGAACAAAACAAACTAAGCACTCTGCCATCTACGTTGATGGGGAGGAGGTAGAAAGGGTAGAAAGCTTCAAGTTCCTCAGAGTCCGCATCTTGGCCGGCCTTACCTGGTCCACAAACATCTCCCACCAGGTAGAGAAAGCACAACAAAGGCTGTACTTTCTCAGGAAACTGTGTCTGACCCAACTACCCCAGAGACTGCTAGTTAACTTCTACTGCTCCACCATTGAGAGTCTTCTGACTTACTGCTGCACATTCTTGTTCAACTGCTGCACCGAAGAGGACAAGAGGAAGCTGCAGCGGGTGGTAGAGTGAACGATTGGCACCTTACTAACCCCTCTCAGTGACATCTATGCTTGCATACTTCAGCAGAAGACCATGCAGCATCATTATCAAGGACCCCTTGCACCCTGGACATTCACTTTTCTTCCCCCTTCTCTCTGGTAAACGCTACAGGTCAATCAGGACAAAATCAAACTGACTCAATAGGAGCTTTTACCCACAGGCTGTTAAACGTGCTCTACCTCCACCCTGATTAACTGCTCCCCCGACACTCATGGACATGGACACTGCACCTTATTGATATTTACAAATTGTATTTCTATGTGCAATGCAACCAACATTTTTATCTTTTAACTGTAGTTATTACAACCTTATTTATTATGGTTTTAGCAACAGCCCTCCCCCCAACCCCAGCTCAATGTTCAATACACCACTTCTTTTTGAAATACATAATTCTTCCTTTTAGTAAATATTTGTTATTTTATCTCTTCTTTTACGGTGTACCGCATATACATGGAGAGATGCCAAACTGCCTTTCATTGTTCTTGCAACAGTGACAATAAAGATTTATTCTATTCTATTCTATATCTTCAAGGTTTTACTTGATTTTGTTTTTAATGCTCAAAAGTCCATAACAACAAAAATACAATCAATAATCATTATTTGCATGTTTTATTAATCCCAGACAGTATGGGTTAAGATAAAATGTTAAGTCAAAACAGATTAAAAAGGCTTGAAGCTAAATGAGATTGTTTCTAGTCGATTAAAATGTTGTTTTTATGATAAAGAAGTGAAATGATTGTTTAACATATATAAACTGCTAGTTTATGTATAGATCAACACTTTAATGTGATAGAAGATTGACCCTGGAAGTGCCTGAATTTGATTTGACTGAAGTTTAAAGTTGTAGTTCACTGAAAAAACTTTTTTTGAATGATTATTTCTGATTTTAATCGGTCACTGAGTTTTTCCATTCCATTTATTTGATAGAGCACATTTAAAAACAGCATGTGAGCTGACCAAAGTGCTGTACAGGGGTAAAAACATATAAGGTTAAAAGAATAATATAAAAGAATAAAACAGCTAGAGCATAGCACAAAGAACTGAAGAAGAGAAGTCAATAAAATCAGTAAAAGAATAGTGTAAATAAACTTAGATAAAATAGCTAGGCAGTAAAAGCAAGGGAATAAAAGTACGTCTTTAAGTGAGACTTAAAAACCCCCAATGGAGGAGGAGAGTCTGATATTCAACGGGAGATCATTCCAGAGTTTCGGAGCGCAGACAGAAAAAGCTCGTTCACCACGGGTTTTGCAGCGTAGACGGGGAATCTGTAGTAGGTGTAGGTCACCTGAACGGAGAGTCCTGCCCGGCACATAAGGAGTGAGTAACTCGGATATGTAAGGTGTTGCTATGCCATTCAACGCCTTAAAAACAAACGATAAAATTTTAAAACGTATAAGACAGTGCACAGGAAGCCAGTGAAGTCTGGCTAAAATTGGAGTGATGTGCTGCCGACGGCCAGTATTAGTCAGAAATCTTGCTGAAGGCGAGATAATGTGGCTTTGAAATGCCAAACAGAATTGCATTGGAGTAGTCCAACCTCGAGGTGATGAAAGCGTGAATGGTTGTCTCGAGGTGGCGCCGATTCAGAATGGGTTTTAGTTTGGAAAGACGCCTCAGCTGATAAAAACATGATTTAATCATGTGATTAACATGAGGGTCCATTTTTAGAGCCACGTCCATTTTAATTCCAAGATAAACAATTGTTTGACTAATTTTAAAAGGAAGAGCAGAAAAATCAGGAGCGCAGGAAGACAAGCCATTAGGAGTAAAAACAATAAACTCGGTCTTAAAATCATTCAGCAGCAGAAAATTTGCTGCCAGCCAGTCTTTAACCTCACTCAGGCAATCAAGGAGCGGCTGGATGGAGGTAAAAGTCTTCAAGGGAACATAAATCTGGCAGTCGTCCGCATAAAGATGAAAGTTAATGTTGAACTTCCTAAAGATTAGTCCCAGTGGAAGAATATAAATGGTAAATAAAAGGGCAGGCTGAGCATGAAAAAATTCTCCAGCACCTATCTCCTGCATTAGCTTCTGATAGAAAATAGACGGTGAAACTCTAGAATTAGAAAATCCTAACAGATCTACGTCACACTGTCACTTAACATTCATGGACTCATACATCTTGACTCACTGTGGGGTAGGCTGTTTTTGGTTTAGCATCCAGAAAACGGCAGACAGCATCTTGGCTATTAGAAGCTAACTGTTATCATTAGCAACTCCACCACACGGCAGAACTCCTCCAGGCTTGAGTTACTTGTGGAAATAAAACATCCACATTGCAAAGTAAACAGAGTCAGAGTTGTGTTGTTATCTGATTTAAGGCGAGATGTCCAAATATCAGGAAATAGGACTCCAAATCCTGGCATATTAGGCCTGGAATATACTTGCTGTTTAAGTTCGCGTAGCTACGCATGTTTAAAATGGCTGCCGAGCGACTTGCGTCGATTTGAAGCACCAAAATTAACACAATGCGTCCGAATGCTGCAATATACTGTATCCAGTAGGTGGAGTTGACAAAACGAGTGAGACACACTCACCATGGTTTAGAAGTTTTTCACACCATCTACAGTACCGCTGCTGACTTTTTTTCTGTCGTGAACTCAAAATTAACCAGTTACTGATCTCTTCTATTGACGCCATGTTTATTTTTGGTTGTACCCACAAACTATCAGTACTACATGGAGTGCAGTGCCATTTTGCAGCTAGTATGTAGACAAAGACGCAGCCTACTGCCTGCACCAGCGCAAAGTTAAGAGGATATTCTGGCCCTTAAGCTCTCCTCTGTCTAGATCCTGAAACAGGCGCATCAGGGCTTTTTGTACCCAGAGTACGACTTACAAGGCATTCGTTCCTACGAGACCACTGCAAATGTATTGATTAAACAAATGAACCACACCTTTAAAAACCCGGAATAAATTTGATGTTTTTCAACATTATTCTGAAGGAGCTGACATGCTAATTCAATGTTTTTCACATGTTCAGTTGTAATATCCTATTAGGCCACCATAAGAGGTCAAAATGTAGTCACGGTCCCAATTTCAGATGAATGATTATTTTATATCTATTTGCAAATTACCGTTTTTGTTGTTTTGTGAAGAAGGAATCTGTGTTTAAAAGATTCCACAGAACTACAAGTCAAACGTAGCTTAGTCTGTCGCTGTATGCTAGTCAGGAACCCTATTTGAGATATTTCTGTCTGCTCTTCAGGTTGTCGGAGTGGAGGATGCCCGGATGGGTGAGGAGGTCTGTGCCTGCATCAAGTTGGTGGATGGTCAAGAGTCGTCTCCTGAGGAAATCAAGGCTTTCTGTAAAGGACAGGTGGGTTCTCTTTCTGGTTCTTGTTCTTTTTGTGTCCCGATTGGATCACGTTCAGCATTTTGTTTTCTGCTTCTTTCAGATCTCTCATTTCAAGATTCCTCGTTACGTTCTGTTTGTGACTGACTACCCGGTCACCGTTACTGGAAAGGTGACTAGAACATCCGACAGAATAAAAGCGGACCCAGAATTAGAAACACCAGCTCTCCTCTGGTTCTAGACTGTCATGAGGTTAATTTTAGAATAAAATCCATTTGGATTAACGGAACAGCTCTGCTGTTAGCTGCCATGCACCTTGTCCTCCCCCAGCCTCATTAGGAAATCAGATAAATCCAGACCTTCAAATTACGAGTCCTTCATAATGCCCAAAGCTGAAACTGACAAGAGAAATTTTAACTATTTGCTGCCTCCAGCTTCTCACACCAGAGATCTGTTACTTGTACTAATCAAAAGTCTCATTATCATATTTCTCAAGTAATTAGAAGACTTTAGATGCAAAAATCAGATGATCGTGACAAGTGGACCAAAGGACTCAGCATCTTCTCTTGAGGTTGAGACATAACTCAGGTCCACGTTATTAATGTGAAGCCTCCTCCGCCTCGAGGATTCACCGTTAAAATACATTAGAATATGCATATTAATACAAATTATTAAATATAAATGCTAGAAATCAAATCAACCAGGAAATAACACATAGTCAGCATTAAATGTGTTCATTTAGTAGCTGTAAACATGTTCCTCCTATAATATCCAGTATATAAGCACTCTTTTGACTTAAAGGACTGTTTGAACATGACATACATTGAGCAGTATTGTGGTACTTTAGGTGTGACCATAACCTGAAAATGCTAGCTGTTCATGCGGTCATTCCTATGGTGAAGCATGGTGGTGGCAGCGTCATGAAATGGGGCTGTTGATAAGTTTGTGACCTAAAGCAGACCTCTGTCAGCAAAGTTACAGGTTTTTTTTTTTTTCATTTTAAACAGATTATTTATTCTGGAAAGCAGCGAGATCAGCTTGTGTGCCAGAGCTTTTGCTTGTTGCAGAAATGATAAATATTGAACTTAATTCCACTATGAATGAACAGAGATTTGCGTTTTAACTGGTGTTATGTTCAAAAAGAACTGTTAAACATCAATATTTTTTCCTCCTTCCCTGATCAGATCCAGAAGCACAAACTCCGCGAAGAAGCTGAAAAGCAGCTGGGGCTGAAGAGGAAATGAAAGACTTCACACATGAATTCAGTGACTGTAATCAGAAAATAATCACGTTTTATGACAGAAACTCCCATTTAAATTCGGACAACCATCTTAAAGCATCTGGAGAAGTGACTTTAACGGCATGCTGCAGGTCTCTAGTTGATTAAAACAACTTCCTGCTGTTTTAAACACTGTGGAAATTTCTTATTGAAAATATTCAGAAATAAAACTTTTTAATTAAATAACGAACTTGCATCGCCCTCAAAGATGGAATACCTCACAGAGGGAAGATGGAAAGTAACACTGATTCATGTGAAGTTTAAATCCTGACCTTCAAATGTGACGTTTTTGTATTTTTAATAGAAAAGCATATTATTAAAAAGTCTTAATTGCTCAAAACTCTTTTTTTTATATCAACTTGATTAAACTTTGACTTGATTAAAAGCAGATGTGGGCGTTTCTCCTTACGGGAGGACAGAATGAAGTTTTATTCCTGCTGGTAGCAGGTGCACGCCTCTCGCGGCCTTGAAATGTCATTTATTTTGATGAAACCCTTTTAAATGAGTCTGTGCTGCAGACACGCTGAAAGCTGTAAAGAATTTCCTGAGTGGATGGCGTGACGCCGCGCTGCCGGATCGGGTGTCGGCTCCTGTCTAGACCTGAAGGACTCGACCCAGAATTAGCTCCTAAAACAAACGCAGCTCCTGGCTTTTAACGAAACCTCAAAGTTTGTTTTGCATTTTTATTTGACATTTTTGGGGTTTGTATCGAATGCTTTAGGACACGGTATCCTTGCAGGACGGGCCAAGAGGAGGGGTTGGCTGAAAAGCTCCACCTGTATCTGCTCCTGATGGATTTGGAAATCATTTCAACTTTTTTTTTTTTTTTAGGAAAATAAACTTTGAGCTTGAACTTATTTCTACATAAACAACTTTTTGTTTTATATTTTGTTCCACTTGTCTTAATTAGGAACAATGACCCAGGCAAACCAATGTAATTAATACTTGGGATTAATTAAAAAAAGGACAGGAGATGGAATTGAACAAAGCTTAAGTTTTAATTCAGTCTGATGGCAAATGGTGGAAAAATAAACGGAACTCTGACATTTTTCAGAAAGATGTTAAAACATAAAATAATCTGTCACTATTAAGATGACAGAATAACAAATCATTTAAAGACTTAAAGGGTGTAACTTTCAGATTCACTCTGAAGGAAAAGGCAGGAAGCCAGCTGGGAATCCATGATGGGAAATCTTTATGTGAACAAACACCGTGTGCTCCTGCCTGGACTTTATGATGACTGTTTGTCTTTTTCCTGCCCCACCTCTGTGCTCAGACACCAGCTCTGAGGTGTTTGCCACTTTGGTGTGAAAGACTGAACACCACCCTGACTTCACCCGCCTCCAGAGACTCACACATTCTGCCCACAGCTTCACTCAGGTCCCTTTCAGCAGCGTTCTGCAGTTGGGCCTTCAAACGTGACCGCTGATTTGGACACAAATGAGGACATGTTTGTCTCTATTCAGGCAGCGGGATCCCGATGGCCGTCTGCACCCCCTGCATCTGCAGCTCAGCCTGTCTCACCTGCTCCTGGCTGCAGCAGTCCTGCAGGAAGACCGAGGCCAGGTTGCGCAGACGGGGGCTCTCTGCGAGTGAGAAGCGCAGCATGCACTGAACGATCCCTGGCTCTGTGATCTGAGAGCAGGTCGCTGGTGTGGTGAGGTTCATCAGGGTGGTGACGGCAGACAGCACCGTCTCCTCCCTCCGGTTTGACAGGTGGTTTGTGATCAAGCTGATCCCGTCGTTCTCCAAGATGATGTCTCTGCATCCAGGGTCCATACTGAGGTTACACAGACCCCCTGTCAACACAATATTTGAGTTTAGATGATTTTTACATAAACAAACATGATTTACTGTTTTAGTTAGAGAGATGCTCACCCATCCCAAACTCCACAAAGTTCTCATTCTCTTCGGTCAACATGTCCAGGAACAGGTCAGGAACCTGCAGCTCCCTCAGGTACTCCATGTTCTTTGGGTCATATGCAAAGTTGGCTAGATTTGCCAGAACCTGCTCCTTTGCCTCTGATAAAGAGAAAAAGTAATGAAACAAACAGATACCTACATCCACTAATTCACCTTACACCAGCTCATTACAAACAATGATAAACAGAGGCTGCAGCACAGAAACAGTACACCTTTATACCACAGGGGGCGCTTTTTACTTTCACATCAAAACACCCTTCAGGCTCAAATGTGGAGCTGACAGTATAAAAATAAGATTTGTCTGTAAACTAGAAAGGCGAGGCAGCTTTATTTGTGTAGCACATTTCATACACTGAAGCTATTCAATGTACTTTCCAGGTGCATGACCAGCATGATCATAAAAGATTAAAATCAACGGGACGACGTAAAACAGCAGATTTTAAATTCAAATTACTCTAATACATAATAATAACAAAATACTCTAATAAAATTAAATGTAAGAAATAAAATAAAAGACAAAGTTAAAGACTGAGCGCAGAAGGTACAGCATGAGAAATAATCCTTCAAAGGCTGATGAATGCATGAAAGTCTTCCATTTTGACTTAAAAGTTACTAGAGTTGGGGCACATTTCAGGTCATAAAGAAGCTGATTCCATCTGTGAGCAGCATAGTAGCTAAAAGCAGCTTCACCCTGTTTGGTTCTGACCCGAGGTTCTACCAGCTGACTGTTTCCTAAGGATCTCAGAGCCCTGCTGGGTGTATATATACAGGAAGGAGATCCAACATGTATTTTGGCCTCATTTATAAACTAGCAGTAGCACTTAGTAATCGTTTCTATAGTTTAATGGCAGCCAGTGTAGATATTTATAACTGGATGGATGGATGTGGAACTAGCGCATTATTTAATTCATCACATTATCTGGCTACTTATTTTTAACACCGTTTTTTTATTTTTTTTTAAATAAAAACAAGCAGCTTTTTGCGGTAAAATCCAACAGGAAATGTTTACTTATGGCAGTAATCTCAAAGTGAACTAACATGTAGAATGACATAAACAATCAACATTTGGTTAAATAACGTCACTTTTTGGTTTCCAAATACTAAGCTTACATTTATTTCATGTCACAATGATACACTTTCAGAATAAAACTTAAAACGCTGCTTAGAATTACAGCTTATTTGATGTATTTGTTCACTTCTATCTGATTTAGTCATGTTTACAGATTCTTCAGAAAACTTTTAACTTCATGAAGTCATTTGCATGTATTTGTGATCTTTTTGTCTTCTGAACACAATTTTAATGCTGATAGTCAGCCTTTCTCCTATTGCAATGGATAAACACTAACATATATAGAAATGTTCTTTTGACAATTTTTTTTCTTTCACTTCAAATAAATATCCTGATGGAGATGGAGTACAGTTTTCGACTGAGCAACGGCTTCTGAAAAAGCCCTCTAACGATATAAATAATAGCACGCATCTAAACTGAGGGTATTGTGAGTCTACGTGTTCGTTTTAAAACGGTTTTTATTTTAACTTTGTAGAACACAGTCTAATGAGCTTTGAAAGAACTGTCTGCCATCTATAATCCAGTTTTGAGATCCCTTCCCAGATGCCTCAACGCCCACGCATATCCTGGGCCATCTGACCTCAGGAATTCACATGATAGGGTGGGGCCAGGTTTCACAATGAGCTCACCCGAAACTCTGGCTGAATAGGACCCACACCCACCCTCAATGTGTTTATGTAGAAGATCATCAGGGGGTCTTTTGTTTCCTCTTTGGGTCAAAACTCCCACGGGGTTTAAATCTGGGACTCTCCACCATTTGACCTTAGAACTGAAGAAGCCTCTCGGATGAGAGGTGAAACGTCTTCAAGCAACTCAAAGAAGCCCAGACGCTTTTCTTTCAAAGCTCATTAGACTACAGTGACCTGGATGACTGAGAACCTTCACAGACATTTTGTAGAACACCGATCAAAGGTTATTCCTACCTTCACTGTCAGTGTCCTGAAATTCAGTAACCAGCGTCTGTAAATATTCAAACCGTTCAGGCGCTTCAGCTGACTCATTTTTCTTCATCTTTTAGCAAACACACATTTAACACTTAAAACACAATAAAATTCACACAGATAACATCAGATTATGCCGATGTTAAAGATACTTGGCCGTTCATAGCTGATTCAGAGGTTGTTTTCATTTCACGTTTGGGTCCGCGTCTCATAAGTGTTCGGAAAAACTGCGCAAGTAGATATTTGTTCCGCTGTTTTATCAAAACTTGTTTGTCCGTGAAGATGTGCTCCCCGTTCACTTTCGTATGATTTAAAGAGTAACGCATTTTTAGCTAACGAAATCGTAACATCATTGCTATAAACTCGCTTATAACGTTATAAATGCTAGCATTGCTGTCACAATTGTAAAATGAAATACGCGAGAGCTACGCGAGCCGATGAGGAAACACATTTTAAATGGTGTACAGAGATTGATACAACACCAGCAGCTGAGCGGAAGTTAAGGAGTAGAAGGTGTGTTTGTGTTTATGTGCTCGTACAACAGCACATAACGCACATTGCGAGAGGTCAGCTTAATAAAAACGCTATGTCGCTTTGTTTATTTAAGTAAAACAGCAACAATGAATCAGCACAGGCTGTCCGCGAGAAAGCGCCTCGCCAAACCCATTTTGTTCGGAACTCTGCTGGTTGGACTCGCCACTATTTTCATTAACAGGTGAAACTGAGCTTTGCTAACTGCGTAAACGAACACAGTTTAAATGCACAACACATTTCACTGTAACACCGGTGTGACGGTGAAACTGTCATTGGAGACTGAAGCAAAAATATTAAATGCTATGAGTTAGCAGCAAATCGTAAACATATTTGCTTGTCGTTTATGCAGACACAGGTTCCTTGAAGACGTGGTTGAGCTCAAGGCCCAGGAGCGAGAACGCAACTATGCCAGGATGATGGAAGTCCTGGAGAGGAGGGAGAAACAGAAAGAGCTGGTGGAGAAGAAGAAGCAGCAACAGACAGGAAGTGACTGAACATATGAACTTTTTGCAGACGACTGATGCTTTACAGGCCATCAGACATTACAGTCATCCAGTAAATTATAAGACTGGATGGAAAGTTCAGCTGAGCAGGAACCACGCTTTTAAATTTTGACACTCGTGTTGGTCAAGCGGGAGCAGAATTAACCACCATCTACATAAATAGCCTTATTTTAACTCGAATCATCTTTAATTTGTCTTGTTTTTTGATCTTTGTGATTACTGTCTGTGATGGATGTTATATAAATAAAATGTACTTACTATCTGGGAAAAACTGACTAAACCCCTAAACCAAACAAAAACAGTGGGAGAAAAATATTACTGGATAAAAGAGATTTTTTTTATCAGGGTTGTATTAAAACCAAAGTATTAGGACTTGCATTTTGTCATTAAGGTGTATCAAGTCTGAGATATAAATCTTAACTTCATAATGGAGAGGTTAGAGAAGATTTTGAAGTTTTAATCTCATTTCAGCTCAAATTAATATGCTAAAGTTTAAACTCCCATTGCAAACAAATAAAATTCAATAAAGACTTCAATCACATCTTTTATTGGTGCATGCAATAAAGACATAAACAAAACAAACAATAATTCATATTGCACTTAAAATAACAAAAAGATGTGACTCAATACAATTGAGGAATGAAGTTGTAATAATTGGTAACACATTTAGAAAGTTCAGCTAAATAGTAGCTTGATGGTCAACAGGTGTGAACATTAATAACAAATTGATCAATATGACCCATAAAATCTTTGTCACACAGTTCAGAAACCAAATTGTTGCTACAGAGACTTTCCCAACACCATTGAAATCGGTTTCTAGAGTCACACGGTAACAGTGAAAAGTCAAACTCATCTAAAACCAGGTTGTTTAAATATTCACTTGTGAGGCTCTGCAGAATATTCAACACTTCACCAACATCTAAAAAGCCTGTTTTTATTTGCCCTTCCACTCTGCAAAAAACAGGATATTTAATCTGATGTTAAAGCTAAACAAAAATGTGAGAAAAGACCTAAAAAAAAGCATTTTTACTTCTGACAGTTTCATCAAAACTTCCAACACTAGTTGCATATTTAATCCCCTTTGGGGCAAGACAATTCAGGTGAAATCTTGAATAAAGCACGAGCAGAACGGCTTTTAACACCGGAGAGCAAACAGCTGATACAGAAACATCTAGAAAACAAACGACTGGTGATGCAGCAGGAGTGGGGTCAGAACAACAGATGGTGTCAGAGGAGGACACAGAAGATGCTTAAGATGTACAGTTTTGTGTTCCCTCTTTGCTTCTGAGCAGAATGACAAAACCGGGTCACACAGCGAGGGGAACCGGACCAGGAGAGGAGGCCGGAGGGGCGGTGATGACCTTCAGCCCACTCATGGTCCTGCTGCAATGACATCAGACAGCAACTTTAAACAAAATGACCACAAGGCCTCGAAAAGCTGAACCCACCCAGAACCCACTTCCCCTCCATGCGTATTTAGATTGCTTCAAACTGTATAAAGTTAAAGTCCCATTAGTTGTCACAGACACTGATGTGTGTGTGTGAAATGTGTTCTCCGCATATGACCCATCCCCTGGGGGAGCGGTGAGCTGCAGACACAGCCGCGCACGGGAACCATTTGGTGGTTTAACCCCCCAATCCAACCCCTTAATGCTGAGTGCCAAGCAGGGAGGCATTGGGTCCCATTTTTTCACAGTCTTTGGTCTGACCCGACCAGGAATCGAACCCTGATCTCCCAATCTGAGGGCAGACACTCTACCACTAGGCCACTGAGCAGGTCCACAAAGCACCCAAATATTCATTTATTACAGAATAAATAAAGTATGTCATCTTCACAAATCTTTTAACAGTTTAACTTTTCAATCTTATTTTTCTTTCTGAAGGTAAATAGGTACCATGCCATTTTATTTGTGTAGCACTTTATGTTTATGTATTTAGCAGACGCTTTTGTCCAAAGCGACTTACGAGTGACACAACAGGAGAACTGAACAACAAAATATAAAAGCAGCACATCAACTAGTTTCAAGTTCCATATAAAAAACACAAGGAGCATAACACACACACGTGCGCGCGTGCACACACGCACACACATGCAAACATTGGTCAGAAGCGTTTTAAAGTTTGTTCTGGAGGACGCTTCTGGTCAGGTTCAGCCAAAGTCTTTAAACCTGAACATCAGCGTGGAAAACACAGTCACTCCCCCTCCAGCCAGGGTGAGGGTAAGGGTTTACTCCTGCAGAGACCTTGGGGGGCGCAGACCAACACCCACCCTCATCTTTTTCACCCTTGACCTGTTTTCATATCTGCAACTACTCTGGCTGATCTCAGGTCTGTCTGGGAGCTGCATGAGACATGTAACAATAAAAATGACGTTTGTTGAAATAAATGTTGAAACTGGAGTCAGACTGGTTCAGCTGGTTTTATCAAACAGCAGAAACACAAACATGCAAACTCCTCCAGCTTTACTCACTAAAACCAGTATCTCACTGGTCTGACTGGTCGAAACCGGTTGGAGACACAAAACAACCAGGTCATGTGGAGCATGTGATGTGATGGTAAACAAATTCTAACAGTTGTGCTTTTTTTTCTTACTATTTAGTGACAAAGTGTTTTAATTGTGTCTCATTTTATTTTCCACATCTTGGCAGACCCTTCCAACAATGTCTCCTCCACAGATAGAAATACACAAATGTGTCCAGACATTTAGGAAAACAGCGGCAGTCCAGTGAGAAGCTGGCTGTAGAAACTGGTGCGGATGCAGGTGGATAGAAGAACCCGGGTTAACAGACGTGGTGCGGAACATCATGTTTAAGTCTCTGTTGAAGAGCTATTTTCACTGGTCTGATGTGTTTCTGTAACAGAGTCCAAACCCGGTTCAATAACCTAAGACGCAAGTCCTTATTCTGATTCAAAAACATCATGCTGCTTGACCAGAGGACAGCTTGGACATTCGTCTGCCTCTGAGAAGCCTCCTGTAACAACTAGAAGTCGTAATAGTGACCTGCTGCCTGTGAGGATTCACATTAACTGGTGAGAAGATACATTTACCTGGAAGTGATCCAACTCGTCTCAGTCTTTAAAAACGATATACTTACATATTTTTGGTGTATAAACAAACATCTCATGCCTTAAACATGGTTTAGATTAGCTGCAGCTCTCCCCTCTAAAACCTTTTGTCCCACAGATGAAATGATAGATTACAGCCAAAAAATAAAACTTTATTTTTGGAACACATGTTGCAAACTTTCCTGACGTTGTGAAGAAACTTACTGTTAGATGTAAAGTTTAAAAGAGCCCACATTAGTAGACAAAAACTACCACCACTGATCAGTCCATCTATGCCACAGTTAGGATTTGCTACATCAAAACCAGCAGAACGCACCTAAACGCACCCAGACTCACAGAGTTGATGTGGTTACCCAGAATCCACACAGGGAACATGACACTCTCATTTCTGCTAGAACAAAAGGCATAACTGTCTGAGAGTCTCCTCATGCACAACACCATCAATGAACTATTCAATTCAATTCAAGTTTATTTATATAGCGCCAAATCACGACTAGAGTTGTCTCATGGCACTTCACATAATAAACATTCCAATTCAGGTCAGTTCATTAAGCCAATCAGAAATAATGTTTCCTATATAAGGAACCCAGCAAATTGCATCAAGTCACTGACTAGTGTCAGTGACTTTACAGCAATCCTCATACTAAGCAAGCATAAAGCGACAGTGGAGAGGAAAACTCCCTTTTAACAGGAAGAAACCTCCAGAGAATCCTGGCTCAGTATAAGCAGCCATCCTCCACGACTCACTGGGGATCGAGAAGACAGAGCAGACAGACACACACACACGCACGCACGCACACACTAGTGGCATGTTGTGTTTATGATGCACTCACGCTTTGTTGAAATAGGACGTATGGAGCGCTTGCGAGTAGCCAGCTGTGTTTGCGTTCAGCACGTTGCTGTTGTCAAGAGCGTACGCCTTCCGGGATTTCTGCTCCCTGGCAAAGTTCTTGCAGGCAGCGAGCTTGGACTCCAGAGCCTGTCAGGACAGCGGACATGTGGAGGTGAGTTTCACCACGAAGGAAACACAGACGTGCAACAGGAAGGAGGACAGACTCACCCCAACCTTCTGGAGTAAATCATTGACTATGTTCAGAGCTGAGATTCTGGCAGAAGGAGTCAGAGGACAGTTGCTGCCGTAGCCAGCAGACAACACTGAGGGGAACCCAGCAAAAATATAGACATTCATTTTAATCAAATCTGTTGCTGTGTTTGATAATCTTTATTTATTGTGCTTCATAAACTCGGATACATTACAGCAACATCAGCGTTATTAAATTTTAGGAAGTGATCAAATCTGAATCTAAATTCAAGAGAAAGGACATCTGGTGGCGGTGCTTTCACACAGACTCATTAAACTGTCCAATACTTTTTTCATTTATACTTTTCAGTTGGAAATTTTATTGTAGGTTAATCAAATTTAGAAACTCACCCATGAAAAAGGCTTTTAAACCCAGACAAAGTTAGTTACCGTAAATCCTCTAATACTGGCCTGTATTCAATTGACAGCCGGGTATCATATTTTGGCCGGTGTCGGAGTCGCCGGAGGTGAATAATGGCCGGTCTCTTATTGTGGCCGGGTGGAATGTGGTAACAAGCAAGTACGGGGGGCGGTTGTGTCATCTGTCTCACTTTCGATTTGCCAGTGATAGACCGCGAGGGTAACTTTAACCGTGCGGAGACGACGAGGAGGCGAAAATTTGATTTCAAGTTCAAAGAGAACGTGCTGATTATGCTGCAGAACACTGGGGAGCAGTAGGGGTTGTATGAACATGTCAACTTCACTATAGTGACTTTTTATGCCTGTCATCGACTAGTCGCTGTCACGTGATAATGACCGGCAAGATGCAGCCCTCGGAAAAGACAGCAGCCTGCTGTCAGCAGGTGACAAGCTCCTGCGCTCAGGGGGGGCAACGCGCTGTGCCAGAGCGTCGGTACTGACACGCGATCGTTCATGTCGGCTCATTTCCTTTAATGTTTTCTGTCTTTTATTTGCGCCTGACGCGTTTCACTGCTGTGGAGCGGGGCGCATCACCTTGTCCTCCAGTGACGCACCGATCACTGATGCGGCCACCAAGCAGCGAGCGCTCCGCTGTTTTTGCGGTCGGTAGGTAGATCTGCGTCCTGAGCACGGCCACAGTAACATTATCAAATCAGGTGTCGCCACCTCAAAAACTAATTTAACACGCGATCGTTCATGTCGGCTCATTTCCTTTAATGTTTTCTGTCTTTTATTTGTATTTATTTATCTGGAGCTTGATGAGCTTGAGCCAAATAAAGGCCCGGGCCTGTATTAGAGGATTTACGGTATACAGAAAAACTAATACTTAAGCGATATGTAAAAAGTTCTGAAAAACCTGCCAAACACAAAACAAGTCTAAGAATTTATGATGAGATAAAAGATGCAGTCAGATGAGGCGGCGCTGCAGCTATACCTGTCTGGCTGGTGAAGGCGTTGTCCAGACCTTTGCTCAGGGGGGTAGCGGGGAGAGAGACAGAGACAGCAGAGTCCATCTTCACGTCGTCCTGTGTGGGCGAGCTCGGAGCAGACATCCTGCTCACATCGGACTGCCGCTCACGCACCGCCAGCTCTTGACGCAAATCTGACGAAATAAAACTATTTAAAATCAATGGAGGACACAGGAGAAGCAGATGAAACAGGAAGCTGCTGAGTGACAGCGTATATCTTTTGTGGTTTTTAGTCACCTCTGGCTTCATCCTTTAATCGTTGCACTGAGACCAGAAGAGACTCCTTCTCATCCAGCTCGCTCTCCAGGAAGGCGTTCCTCTCAATGGCCTGGTTCAGACGCTGCTCAAAGTTCTCCAGAGACACAATGGTGGCCCTGAGGAAAAGGTTAACACTTATTATCAAGGTCATCAGTACTTCTAAATGAAGCAACGGGGAGATTTACTCTGGTCTAATTCAAGCCAACAACCAATACACTGATGGGAGTTTCTAGAAGATAGATCTGCTAGTACTAGACAGGTCATTTGACCTTCATGGAACAAAACAGAAGAGTCTGGAGCGTGGTGTAGGCACTGCTAGCTAACACTCCTTTAATTACTGGAGTGATGCCTGCACTTTTAGGCTGACTGACCATTTACTGAAGTTTCACAGCACCAGCTGAGAGACCAGTTAGGACACTGCAGTATGGTGGAGGTGGGAGATGACCAAAGGCCACAGCTGGAAATGGGTGGTGTGTTCTGGGTGTATGATTTTTAAAGATCAGCTGATCATCAGTCAGCACCCAAAATCTGAGCGTATTATGACTACTGCTTTGTGTAGAGTGTACTATAAAGCATGTTCTAACTCTATGATCGCTATCTGTTCAGACAGAAATACTCTAACCAGCATTAAAAAGCTAATGAAACTCATCACTAGACTTTCGCTGACTGTTGGTTTTATTTAATAGCAGGAAATAATTTCCACTAGCATAAACATTTTGTAAAGGATACAAAAATAGAATAATGAGATCAGGTTTGAACGCTTTGTATTATATGGTTAAGTAAAGATTTGAACATTGTAAATAAAAATAAATGCTAATCATTCGGTTGAGATGATGAAGCATGACATGCACACACCTCTTTGCTCTCTCCAAGTCATCGTTGGACTGCTCAAGCTCTCTGACATATTTGTGGAGCTGCTCCTTGATGCTGCGTGTTTGTCCAAGGTCGTCCTCCAGAACGGAGATCTGCTTGTAGCTCTGGGAGTACTGATGCTCCAGTTTCTCCTGAGAAGGAGGAGGCGATAGAGAACGGGAGGAACACAGAGGGGCTGTAAGGTACTTATTTTAACCAACAAGCACAAGAACTGTGATTTTCAGGAGAATGATTTATCAGCTTATCACCTCCATCCATGTTCAGCTCTGCCTCATTGTGCTTTCCCCACACAGCAGCTGACCCATTTACCAGTCAGCTCCCAGACGATTGACTCAATAAAACCACACGCTGTTTGAGTCTGACCTATATCTGCTGATGAATGGGTGTGTGACCCCAAACATTCCTTCCTGCTTCTAGTTTCATTCACAATTACCAGCATGGAGAAAACTGGATGCAGGGATCTGGAGCTGCTCTCTGTGTTTAAAAATGTACCACAAAGCTATGTGTCCTTCAAGCACCAGGACTGGACACCTCTGCTTTAAAGTCGCATTTGAACAGATATGAAGCCTCTTAACTAAAGAACAGGAAACCCCTCCTTCTGGTGACTCCCTCGTTCTGCTGGGGGACTTCAACGCTCACGTGAGCAATGTGACAGTGAGACCTGGAGAGGTGTGGTTGGGAGGAACGGCCCCCCTGATCTGAATTCGAGTGGTGTTTTGTTATTGGACTTGTGTGCCAGTCATGGATTGTCCATAATGAACACCATGTTCAGACATAAAGGTGTCCATATGTGCTCTTGGCACCAGGATACCTTAGGCCGCAGCTCGATGATCGACTTTGTTGTTGTTTCATCTGACCTGCGGCCGCATGTCTTGGACACTCGGGTGAAGAGAGGGGCAGAGCTGTCAACTGACCACTACCTGGTGGTGAGTTGGCTCAGATGGTGGGGGAGGATGCCGGTCAGACCAGGCAGGCCCAAACGTATCACAAGGGTCTGCTGGGAATGTCTGGCAGTGTCTCCTGTCAGAAGGAGCTTCAATTCCCACCTCCGACAGAACGTCCAAAATGTTCCGGGGGAGGCGGGGGACATTGAGTCTGAATGGACCCTGTTTCGTGCCTACTTTGTTGAGGCGGCCAACCGGAGCTGTGGTTGCAGGATCGTCAGTGCCTGTCGTGGTGGCAACCCCCAAACCTGCTGGTGGACACCGGCGGTTAGGGATGCTGTCAAGCTGAAGAAAGAGTCATATCAGGTCTTTTTGGCCTGTGGGACTCCAAAGGCAGCTGACGGGTACCAGCAGTCCAAGCGGAACGCAGCTCGGGTGGTCGCCGAGGCAAAAACCCGGGCATGGGAGGAGTTCGGTGAGACCATGGACGTAATTTTTTGGGGGGGGACATGTCCCCCCCACTTTTTCCAAAGTCAAGTTTTGACCCCTGCCCTTTTTACCATCCAAAAACAATATTACTTTATATTAAATTGACACTGGTTGAGCTCTAGGACCAAGTGGAAAACAACTGTTTGTGCTGAAGCCTGTTTCACATTAGAACATACTGTAAAGATGTGCTCTCGATTTACCGGTCGATCTACATTCCCTCACCTATGGCCATGAACTTTGGGTAGTGACCGAAAGAATGAGATTGCGGATACAAGCGGCCGAAATGAGTTTTCTCTGAAGAGTGGCTGGGCTCAGCCTTAGAGATAGGGTGAGGAGCTCGGACATTAGGGAGGGGCTTGGAGTAGACCCGCTGCTCCTCCACATCGAGAGGAGCCAGTTGAGGTGGCTCGAGCATTTGGTCAGGATGCCTCCTGGACACCTCCCTGGTGAGGTTTTCCGGGCACGTCCAACCGGGAGGAGACCTAAAGGTAGACCCAGGACACGGTGGGGGGACTATGTCTCTCACCTGGCCAGGGAACACCTTGGGATTCCCCCGGAGGAGCTGGCCCAATTGGCTGGGGAGAGGGAAGTCTGGGCCTCTCGCCTTTGGCTACTGCCCCCGCGACTCGACTCCAGATATGCGGATGAAAATGGATGGATGGATTGGTCAAAACTGCCAAGTTGAAATAACTCGCTGGCCACTGTGATTCATTTTCTAGATGACAACCCAAAATTATTGTAAATCATGATGATCTGTAGCCTGGCAAGCCATCAGAGCAAAAATGTTCAGCTAATGCTACAATTTGTTTGGATTTGTGGGTGATCTAGATGATCTGAACATTTTTAGCAGCTGGAAAATGGTCTCACGTGTTCATTATGAAAATCCCCAAATTGCCTGGATTAGACGAGCCGTTTTCCAGTTTGGACTTCAGACAAAACTTACAATGTAAAAATTTCAAAGGACTATTTCTATCAATAAATTTAAAAATAATTTGTGTTAGTTTGGTACTTCATCAGATTTAAGCTGGTGTAAGAAAGATACGTCTTGTTTTTATTTGACTACAAAAGAAAAGGTGCAACTTTTTGGAAAACAGTGTTTTTAAAGTCTTTTCTTTAGTTATTTTTTTACTAAAATGGCTCAGAAGTGTTGTAATTATTCTTCATCATGAAGCAGAATAGTAACATGTTTTCATAAAGCCTTCTTGACCCAGGAAAACAAACCTCTTTACGTGTGGAGCCCTGACTGCAGAACCTGAACGTCCCAGCCTTCAGCAGAGAAACCTCCTGCTGCTGGTCTGAGTCACTCAGCCTCAAACATGGACTCAAAATCTGTTGCTTCTCTTTTAGTAATTATACGATGAGAACGGGAATGAGACAGCCTGATGAATTATTCATGGTATATGGCAATCCTAGTTCCATATATGGCCAGAATGGGAGAGCAGTGAGACCAGACAAAGATCACTGGTTGGTGTTTCACTGGTTACCAGTTTCGTCTCCAATAACAGGACTATTAATCAACAGAACTAGTTCAGTGACGCCTCCAACAGTAAAATCAGACCCACAAGAGTTTCACATCCATCGTTAAAACTGCCTTTCCCATTCAGCTGTTCAGATAACCCACCTTTGTTAGCAAACTCAGCTGTATATAAACAAAAAATAGAGATTTCAATAAACTGCGAATAACTTCAATATTTTATGATTGTTTTACATTTTTTAAAAATAATAAATTACTAATAAATATTTTCTTTTTAGGATAAATCAATAATAAACTATTAAATAAAGTTTTACCTGCTTAACCATATTTTGTAATGCATTACTATAAGCAACCTTAAGGACACTTAATATTTATCAACAATGATACTGTTAATAAAGGGACCCTTTGTTTATTAATGCTTAATAATGAACTCAGCAATGTTAATAAAGGGACCCTAATTGTGAAGTGTTACCAGAGAAGGATATGACCAGGTTAGGAGCAAGAAAAGTTTTTTTCTTCTGCTAGTTACCTTGAGTGTTTCAACCTCATGTTTAAGTCTGCGGTTTTCAGACTGCAGGTCTTTGATGCGATTCTCAGCCTGGCCCAGCTGAGTTTCCAGCTCAGCCTCTAGTTCTCGGCTCCCCTCCTGGAACTCCAGCAGCTCCTCCTGAGCCTCCTCACAGCTGTGGGCAGACACACCAGGAGTCATTAGACATCACGTTGGGACAGAAGGAGGTCACAGCCCAAGTCTGGAAGAAATTCTTCAGCTGTTTCTTTTTTAATTCCAGAGGAGGTCTGACCCACATAGAATTCCCCAAACTAAAGCACAATTTGTGTCGCCTAAAAACAGCGCTGCTGAACACAAAACTGATGTAAACACACTACATCCTCTCAAAATAGGTCTGTCTACAGGCTGCAAACACACGTGTCATATAATATAATATAATATAATATAATATAATATAATATAATATCATATAATATCATATAATATAATATAATACATATAATATAATATAATATATATGTGTGTGGTTTGTAGTTTGAAGATAGCCATCAAATCCCAAAGTCAGACCAAACATGAGGATCAAAATGTCAATTGTCTCTAAAACTACTAAAAACATCCACTGCTTTACCCCTCAGTGACATAAACTCTATCTGCTGTATGATTTCAGTGAGCTGAACCAGTAAGTAACATCCACAAAACAGTAACGCACCCTTTCTTGTACTTGAGAGAAAGAGCCTTCCAGAAGTCAATTTCCTCGTCCTTTGAAGAGAATTTTGGTATCATATCCATTTCAGTGGCAAATGAATCTGCAGAAAGACATTAGAAAATAAAATCAGTTAAAAGTTAAGAAGATTACATTTTTCATTTAAAAAAGAGAAGTTCATTAATCTAAACTTTTAAGGTAAATATTTGCACATTGGTACTCTTAATAAAACCTGTACCCAGATGTTGAATTATTAAACCAAAACATGACTTTATTCGCCATAAAAGCTCCTTTCAGACTCCATTCAGGTTTCTGGACTACAGCAGAGTGGTCAGATTTCAACCTGTAACTCCCACTAACACCATCTTCAACAAATAACACATATTAATATCAGAACAGAGTTATCTTCTAAAGCTTCATCGGTTCAGTAAAACTAAACACATTTCATATCAAGACAGCAGACAACATTTGAGCTGTCTGGTGTACGCCTTTCCAAAAGTATGAAATAATGTTGGACAGCTCAGTGAGTCACTCAAGGCTACTTTCAGTTTATTTCCTTTTCAAGTTTACATTAATAAATAAACATGATGAATTATAGAACCCATCTTATGAATCAATTTATCAGCGTAAAGACCTTGTAGCTCAAACCTAAATTATTTACCAACACCACTGTTAGGCTGTCGGGGTGTAGGAGGACAGAGTTCAGGTCAGCACTTAAACTGAAACCAGTTTTCGTTTTGGTTGACCTTTTGGCAAAACAAAATGATAAAAACTAAACTAACGGATGTCCTGAGCTTAATAATCAGAGAAACTCCTGGGTTATAATTAATTGAATAATTAAAATGAAAAGATGTTTATTAGCACAAGCATGGACGTAATTTTGGGGGGAGATGTCCCCCCCACTTTTTCCAAAGTCAAGTTTTGACCCCTGCACTTTTTACCATTCAAAAACAATATTACACTATATTAAATTGACACTGGTTGAGCTCGTGTTGAAGCCCGTTTCCCATTAGAACATACTGTAAAGACCCCCCCCCCCCCCCACTTCTAAAGTGAAAATTACGTCCATGAGCACAAGAGTAAATATCCCTAGGAATATTACAATATAAAAAAATTGTGAAATGGGGAGATGAATTATAATCCCTATTCAAATTCATAGCTGCAATGTGTTAAATTACTTATTTACTAGATAAATTGCATTTCTTGCAGAAATGCTGTTTGAATGCTGGATAGCTTAAACTGTTAGCTGAATCAGCTTAATAGCTGAACTGAAGCTGAAGCTGAAGGTATGCAAAATTGTCTAAATGAGCTGAATGTGTTTAAAGATGTAGAAGCAAAAATCATTCAGAGGCAAATAAAGCATAAAAAGTAAGTGAAGATTGGAGAAAAATAGTCCTAAAAAGCAAAAAACTGAAATCTGTGAACATTGTAAAAAATCTGGACAGCTAAAGTGTCTAAACACCTGTTATTTCAGTTGGACAAGTTTAACAGTTCAATCTTTACATTTAGCTGAACTGTGAAATTAGCAGCTCATGCTAAATTTGGTAACTGATTGCTGAAGTTGTTGAAGTGAAGCTGAAACTAAGCCAAACTGGCAAATGAGCTGAATGTAGTGAAAGATGTGAAAACAGAAAGCACCAACAAGCAAATAAAGCACAAAATGTAATTGAAGAATCAAGAAAACTAATCCTAAACAGCAGAAAACTGAAATCTGTGAACATTGTTTAAAAAGCTGGACAGCTAAAATGTCTAAACACCTGATATTTTAGTAGGACTAGTTTAACAGTTTAATTTTTACATTTAGCTGAACTGTGAAATTAGCATCATATGCTGAATTCAGAAACTGATTCCTGAAGCAGCTGAATAGCTGAAGTGAAGCTGAAACTAGCTAAACTGTCAAAATGAGCTGAATGTATTTAAAGATTTAGAAGCAAAAATCACCAACAAGTGTAATAAAGCTCAGAATAAAGGTGAAGAATGGACAAAAAATGCTAAAAAGCAGAAAACTTTAATCTTTGAACATTGATTAAAAACGCGAAATTTAAAATGTTAAACACTTGGTATTTGAATGAGAATAGTTTAATGGATACATTTTTACAATTGGCTGAACTGTGAATTTAGAAACATTTGCTGATATTTGAAACTGATAGATTAACATATGTTCAGACTTGATATGGGATGGATGAATGGTTGGATGAATGAAATGACAGATGGATTGTTGGATGGATGTTAGATGGTTTATTGGATGGATGGATGGATGGATAGAAGCATGTGTGTATTCATATGTGGATGGATGGATTCCTTAGGCCAAGTCAATGGATTTGATGTCTCACATGTGTGGGCGTGTAAATCCATTTAGAAATGGAGCAAAGGAGGGTCACTGCTCCCATCTCTGCCCATTATAATTTTAGAGATTTTTTCTGAAAATCTCAAGCCGTACCTCAACTTCTACCTGTGATTTTAGAAAAACTGTAATAGATATGTAAAATATTTTTAACCAGTAATAGCTGAAAGCGTTGAGAGTTTGTTGAAACTTGAATGAAGTCTCTAGGTTAAAGTTAACCTATAAAAGTGATACGATTTAGCTGAAAATTGAGCAATCCCATTCATTTCAATGGGACCAAAAATCGCAGACAAAGCTGAATATCTCAAAAAGTATAAAATATTTTAATACCAAACTTTTTGATACCAAAATTGTGTAAATAGTTGAAGAATTGTGGAAGTAGTTAAATGCCGAAAAAACGTACGGAAGCAGAATAATAAACCGACTAAAGAGAAACAGGATCACTATGGTGTGAATGCTTTACAGCATTCAAACAAATATGTTTAATGAAAATGTGAAGTTTTAATCAACTCTCTTGTATGTTTAGATGGAGGTGGTGGGTTGCTAGAGGTTGTAGTGGTGTAAATCAACGCCCAGATTGGTGATAATTTCCATTTCAATATCCTGTTAACCATGCTGGGCACAGACCCAGATCCTGGTAATCCATCAAAACACATACACAGAATAGGGAAAATATAAATAAATATAAAACAACGCGATAAAGACAGATTGAATAGAGGTAACACATTTGATCTCTAACATTAATGAGTGTGCTGTGCAGGAACACCAGGAGGACCTCCCGGAGCTCAGCTGTCAACCTGGGTGTGAAAACAACCCCAACATAAAGCCTCCATCATTGTACCTTACTTATCGGTTTCCTCCAAGTAAAAGACGTTGTTATTATTATGAAGGCGTTCCTACCTGATCATCAGTTTATCGGTCCATCGTGCTCGCTGCTGCGGCTGGCCGTCCTCTGCTGTCTGGTTATCTCTGCCTGGCTTGTGCTCAGCAGGATTTAAAGGAGAACACACTCCGGATGGGAACCTCAGGTCCTCTACAATAAAAACCCACATGATCATCACAGTGATGTCTGGTAAAGGAGGAGAGCATGACAGGATACAGCTGATGTAATACTACAATAATTTATACCTCGAAGAAATTATGTGCGTATTTAGGATTTGGCTAGGGTGGAAGTTACACATCCGATTGATGAAAAATAAACAAAAACCTACGTTTTTTTTAAATCTGTACAATGATTTTCCACTGCTGTGTTTTACCTCATAGGTTTCAATGATGCACACTTTTTGCGCATATTAGACTGTTGTGTTTAATCCGCTTGCGTCCTGTTGTAAACAGCAACATGAATAAAGATCAAACTCTGAGTTAAAGACCAATACAACGAATAGAAAAAAAAACCCGACTATACCTACAAAATTAATACTGCACTGGTGTTTAATGTTAGCGGGCTACACTAACATTTCTTCTGCTTAAAAATAAAATATGTGGTTATTAATTTCGGTGCCCCAGAAGGTTTCTAGCGCACCCCTAATGCAACTACGAACTCTTTAATAAAAATAGCCACGTGATCATCTTCTCTCCGAGGCGGACGCTGCGACGTAAAGTGCACGTTAACGGAACGTGCTGCTATGGTAACCGATAGACGCCGGCGACACTTCCGAGTCCGACCCAAACACCCTAGTTGAAGTCATGGCTACTCCGACGAAAGATATGAGTTTCCTGTCGAATTCGTCAGAGGAAGAAGAAGAATTCTTGTCTGATGAGGTTTGTAGCAGAATGAGCGAGGTTTGTGCTAACATGAATCTAGCTAGCTGCTCACGAACTGAGAAGGTCTCTGAGCTCCACCCACTGGTCCTAAAACTCAATAAAACATGAAGGTACCAGCAGCTCTCGGTGTGTGTGTGTGTGTGTGTGTGTGTGGGGGGGGGGGGGGGGGGGGGGGTGCGTGTGCCACAGCGGGCTGTTTTATAAGACTCACTGAACAATTGGTTTCCAGGGTGTGAGCTGGGTAAAAAACACTGACAAGCAGCCCAGACAGAGGTGAGGTCAGATGGAGAAAAAACATTGTCTGGAAACTGACAAGAGAAAAGTGGGGCTAATTTATTTAATCAGTGCATGATGCAAAAGAAGAAAACAGATGAAGAAGATGTGATTTGTATTCAGCTTATATGTTTGTGTTAGTTTAAGCTGTTGGATGCATCACATCTGCCTAGCTGGTTTTAGGCAATGATCAAAATATGAGGAAACCAATGCAATGCACTGTAAAATATATCTAACAACTCATAATACTGAAATATGTGCAAAATATCTGCAAGCCAACCATTTTCCTGTCTTTTATCCGCAGAAAGTTGTGTCACAGCGGCTGATAGTGATTACTCGACTCCATCACCGTTCAGCTGATAGGACAAAACTGGGAGGTCAGCCAGCAATTACCCCAGAGCTGCAGACTGACAATTTAATCATCTGATATCCATTTAATTCAGTTTTCTTTTAGGGCAAATTGAAATGTGATCATGTTCCCACTGATATAACTGTCTCATCTGAAAAACAGAGGAACCAAATTTGCTCTGAAACAGAAAACAATTTAAACCCACATGTCTGTTTTTAACCCTCTGGAGGCAGGTGTTGCAGATATGCAACAGTTAAAACCTACCCACCTGGTTTTAATGACATTTATAAAGACATTTTGAGTGCAAGCATTACAAGTTTTGAGGGCAATTATATAAAATCTTATTCTCAAATTAAAAAGTTGGTCTCTTGATGTGAAATTCTGCTCTCAAATTGAAAATTCAAGTGCTCAATTAGTGGCATTTTAATTCTTCCATATGTGGTTTGCTTCCCCACAGCTCATTATGAAAAACTCAACTCTGAGTTGAGCAAACGGCACATAGCGGATGAGATAACAGGCCTGCTGCTGATCTATCCATCCTGTCTGCTGCATGTGATTGAAGTAAGTTTTTCTCCAAGTAAACAGTCACATAAACAATAATTAAAGTCTTGAACATCTTTGTTTTGTTTTGTTTTGTGGCAGTCATCTGGAGATGTTCTGACTTCTGTTTTGGAAGACCTAAAAGCTTTGCAGCAACAGCCGAACCGGTAGTCATCCTTTATTTAAACTTTATTTTTAAAGGAAAGTGATGAAACACTTGCTCCTTTCTCTGTTGTTTTTTAAATTAAAATTAAGTTTGTTTCAACATTGGACTTGCTGTCTATAGTTAAGATAAACATTCAATATCTAAAATTAAAATCAATTGATTGAAAATGAATGTTTTTCTTTTTGGTGTGTTTGGTTCATTTAGCAAAGCAGCAGCTAGTTTCCTTTTTTCTCATCAAAACCTAAATTCCAGGACAACCAGTTAAATCATACGCAGACCAGACTTGTGGCAGTACATGCTCATATCAGGCCACCCTCTGTTGTCAGGGACTCAGTCAACGCCACAGACTGAGTTGTTTCAGAGAACAAAGATCATTAAAATTTAACACCCGTTCAGGAATTCTGGAGCTAAGGAAAAGCTGGCTGGTCGACCAACATCACTTTCCCATGAGCCTCGCTGCTAGCACGACGTAAACACTTAAATAAATCTTTAAACACATCCAGTTTGCAGCAACAGCTTTAAATGTTTCATCACAGCTGCTGGAATCAGTTGGACGTTTGAAATGTTCTTGCTTCTGCGGATGAGCCGCTGCTGCTGCAGGTCAGAGAGTGAAAGCTGCCCTACTGTGTCCTGTTGGGATGAGTGAGTGCTGTAAATGTGTTTCGTTTCTCTTTTAGCGACTTGCTGGAAGCTAAAATTCTCTTCCTGGCTCACAACATTGAAAGCAGGCTGTTTAAGGAGTGGAGCTACAAGGTTAGCCGTATATATTTACTTTTGGTTTTCAGGTGTTTCATAAATGTATTCAGGCGAACCCAGATGTTTATTTTTTTTATCATGCATTCAGATTTTTGCTTGTATCTGTCTGCAGGTGATGGATAAAGATCAGGTTGTTGGCAGCTTTAGGGTCAGGAGACTTGAAGACGACGATGAGAAAACCGAGCATCTGTTTTGCAGTGTACTGTCGACTTTGCAGAAGCTGGGTGAACATCTGGAAAGACCTCCAAAGGTGTGCTGATGTAATTAAAAACAGGATTTCTGTAAAGAAGACTTTAACACCATGATTGTCTTGGAAGGCTCTCCCTGGACTGGTGTTGGATAAAACTCCAGTACTCATCATTCCTCAGAGGACTTTGGAGAAGCTTTTGCATCGAGATGAATTCATGAGTCCAGAACAGTACCTGCATCTGTACAAGTCTCCCTTAAACATCAACACTGAATTTGGTTAGAGGACTTTACATTAGTTCTTCTTTACAGCCTGCAATGCAATTAATCACATATGATAATAAATCAAGAACATGAAAAAGCTGCATCGTTTCAGTTTACTATGTTCTTTTTGTTTTGCAGGACATCTAACTGCTGGATCCCTGCTGTCATTTACCTAGTAGGACCAACTATCTGAATAGTCAGAAGTAAGAACTCCTAAGTGGAAACCCTGGACATTAACAAATAATAAAGTTCTTTATGCATGTTGAACACACAACAGTGACCCTGTGAAAATGCAGCAGTAATATCTAAACCAATGAACCTCAACTGGTGGCCTGCGGGCCACATTCAGCCTGCCAATTGGGGGACTTTAAAAGTTAGCAGCATAATTCACGTCCCAAATATCAATAATTGTTTATGTTCTCCAAATATTACTACGGCTCTAAACCCATACTTTAACTTCATTTTGAAGAGCATCTGGCCTCTACTGTGTCTGAGGACCCCCGATCTACACAATCAGTGGTTGGTGGGAGCAGTTTAGGTCATGTCTATTCTTACTCTTCAGGTCAAATGACCTTGTCGAATGTGGTGTTCCTAAACATCTCAGTGGGTGACTTGTCCGTGAGCCATCCAGTGTTTGTAGCTGACGTCGAAGCTTTTCCTTTCCTGTTGGGGGAGGACCTGCTCCGATGCCTTAAGGCTGTCATTTCATTCGGTGATTGGACACTCCGAACGCGGTTGACTCAACCGATGCCCATGCCGTCTCTTGAGGACCTCATTCCCTCCTTAGGTGTTGTTAACTACAACGGCGCTGCCAGAGTGACCAGTTGATCCAGTACCTCTAAGGTCAGTGACATCCACAGTGTCTGCGTCGTCTCTGCAGCAGGATCACTTCACCCTGGGGTGGGAAAACCACCTAACCTAGGGGGAGTTGATGGTTGCAGTGACACACCACCTGAGACTCCGCACCCTGTGGTGGGAACACCACCAGCCAAAGGGGGGGTTGATGACATCACTCATCCTACACCACTACTGGTTGACCCTGATCTCTCTGACGACACCTGCGCGTCGACCAAGGGCCTTGCCGACAGCACACCTGCGCCAAACCCTCGTAAGGCCACGCCTGCGCCTGCCTACAGTCTAACGCGTTCTTGGTTTCAGTTTTCAGGACTGACTAAATATGTTTTGCTAGTTGCATGTTTCTGTCTGATGTCGACCGCAGCTAAGCTTCATTCACAGCCTCCTCTCACGCATCTGAACAAACCTGGGCCCTCTTCGGGTATCACGTTCCGAGACCGCCCAGGACTATTAATGACTAACTACCGCCTGTTCACATAAAAGATTTTTGTTAAATTTGACCCCGCTATGATGTGTACTGACAAGATTATGAATGCCTTCAGCAACCTCTCGAAAACCGGAGCCCGCTGGACTAGTACCCTGACGCAGCACTCAGAAGCTGACGTCTATCACATACTATTCCAGGCGCTTAAATTCACGGTTTCGAACAATGATTTTTCAGGTACCAGCATTAGAGTGAAGCGTTTCCTGGACAGATTTTTCTCAGCAGCTAATACAATTGGCTCTCTTTTAAATTTCGGATTCTCTTCAGTCGACTCGATCGAGATTAACACAGTTCATCGCCACATTGATGAGCTTAACAGAGAATACCCGGCCCTGCGTACGCAGGTACTGCAGCAACGGCATGCTTTAAGACAGCTGGGCACGTCTGAACGCCAGACTATGGTGGAACTCAACACTCATAGTGACATTTTGCGTAAAACAACTTCCGCTGTGAACAAATTGCATTCTTTCGTGAATGTTGATTATGCTCGTACACAGATGCTGACTACTTGCTTCTCCGACTACGGTTGGGACGTGAGTGCCTCAGTTGACACCCTCCTCATGGGGAGGATCCCTCCATACCTCATGTCCCTGGCCATGGTACGGTCTGCGATTGCTCAAGTAACATCGAAGAACCCGATGACCCTTCAGACTCACTTGGCTTTCTGGTTGGGCAGTGCCATCCCGTTAAGTGTCAATCCAGATGCTAGAGAGCTAGCTTTTATCATCAACTTACCTATCGTGTCTCCAGGGGACATCTATAGACTAAAAGATGTGGTACATGTAGGTAATTGAGTTGACGATACTCACGCCAAGTTACATACGCCCCCTGTCGTCGCGTTCCATGAAAACACACCGCACGTCCGGTTGGTTCCGGATCTGCACGTGTGTTCGCTCACAAGTGGCCTACACTTCTTGTGTCCAAGCACACCTTTTCTGCGTGGCGGTGCCACTGGTGTGTTTGGTATAGATGAGTTGTCGGGAGATTCTAAATGTCCTATGACGGTATTTCCACGTTCGCATGTGGTTCAAACTACGGCTGTTGTTGTTGGTGGACGTTGGTTGGTAAATACTCCTGCTCTTGAAGCGGATGTTTTCTATGAGCGTCATGGCATGTGCAAGCGTGTTGTGCTTCCGTCCCAAACCCAGTGGGTGACAGTTTCACGTAGTGCTGTGGTCCACGTAAGTGAGGTCTCTCTATATAACTTGGATCCACCCACCCACCTACCTACCTACCTACCTACCTACCTACCTACCTACCTACCTACCCACCCACCCACCCACCCACCTACCCACCTACCTACCTACCTACCTACCTACCCACCCAGAGTCGGGTCGTGGGGGCAGTAGCCTAAGGCAAGAGGCCCAGACTTCCCTCTCCCCAGCCACTTGGGCCAGCTCCTCTGGGGAATCCCAAGGCGTTCCCTGGTCAGGTGAGAGACATAGTCCCTCCACCGTGTCCTGGGTCTAACTTTAGGTCTCCTCCCAGTTGGACGTGCCCGGAAAACTTCACCAGGGAGGTGTCCAGGAGGCATCCTGACCAAATGCCTGTGCCACCTCAACTGGCTCCTCTCAATGCGGACCAAGCTCTGACACCGGTCATACAGGGACCTAACAGCCCATATCAGATGGCCTGGTACCCCATACTCCCGGAGAACCCCCGAGGGACGCGGTCAAATGCCTTCTCCAAATCCACAAAACACATGTAGACTGGTTGGGCAAATTTCCACGCACCCTCCAGGATCCCCCACAGGGTATAGAGCTGGTCCAGTGTTCCACGGCCAGGACGAAAATCACATTGCTCCTCCTGAGTTTGAGGTTCACAATCCGATGGACCCTTCTCTCCAGAACCCCTGAATAGACCTTACCAGGAAGGCTCAGGAGTGTGATCCCCCATAGTTGGAACACACCCTGCTGTCCCCCTTTTTTAGTAAGGGGACCACCACCCTGGACTGCCAGTCCAGTGGGACTGCCCCCGATGTCCACGCGATATTGCAGAGCCGCAACAGCCAACACAGCCCCACAACATCCAGAGCCTTAAGCAACTCCGGGCGGATCTCATCCACCCCTGAAGCCTTGCCACAGAGGTGCTTTTTAACCACCTCAGTGACCTCAGCTCCAGAGATTTGAGAGGCCAACCCAAAGTCCCCAGACTCTACTTCCTCACTAGAAGACGTGTTGGTGGGATTGAGGAGGTCTTCGAAGTATTCTGCCCACCGACCCACAACGTCCTGAGTAGAGGTCAGCAGCACACCGTCCCCACTATAGATAGTGTTGCTAGGAACTATTTTGCTGTCTCAGACGAGGTGTCAAAATCTTTGATGGTTAAAGAGGTTCTCTGTCTGAAGCTTTCTCTAGAGCTTAAGAATTACCAGTGTAATCTGGTTTTAATGTTAGGATGTTATGATTGTGTAGCCAACCAAAAGTTGACAAGTTTGCGGATGCTACCAAGAATCTCAGAAACATGCCTTCTTTGATCCAGAGGCTATGATCTGGGTAAAAGGTTAATTATGTGTCATGGATTTAACTTAACCATAC